ATATATATATATATATATATATATATATATATATATATATAGACAAAACTCATATATTATTATATATAATTATTTTTCTCAGAAAGTTTGTGTCCTGTCGACTGAATCTGTTAATAATTTGACAGCAATTTAGCGACAGAAATCAAGCAGAATCTGCAGTATATTCCATTTAAAATATATTTAAACAGTTTACAGAACGCCAACTGCTGTTCAGTTTCCATTATTAACCTGTCATACTGTTAGTAAACTGCTAACAAAATTTACAGTAGATACTGTACAAAATCTACTTCTGCATATTTGGTTGTCTGGGATGGGTCTGGAAATATATATATTTTTTTAATTATAGATACTTCTTGCTTATGACAAACTTCAGCACAAGTATGTCTGTCAAGTTTAGAATTACAAATATTACTACAAACCATTTTCTATTAGAAATAAAAAAAACAATAAATAAAATCTACAGACTTGGCTGTCTGGAATATGATTCAATGACCTAGATATCAGTGTGATGCATCCGAAAATAAGATAAACTGTTTCATGCACACGAGAAAAAATATCCGAAACAAAGAAGCGGAGATTATATTCTTCTTCGTTCGAGATTTTCGTTGTCCGCGAGTTCCGTGGACGAGTGCGTGAAAAGTAAAGCTCGATCGGCCGACTGAACACGCACTCGTCCGTCTCGTCAGAAATGATCGCCGCGAGTAAAATCGCATTACGCGCACGTAATTACCGTGATCGGTAAGTAGGCGTTGATCTTCTCGGCCAACTTCATCCTCTCGCCCTCTTCGCCGTAGATGTGGATCACGAAGCGATTCATCTTGCTGCAGAGCCTGCATATGAACCCCGTGATCACGGCCTTGTCCGTACTTCCCATCTCCACGAACGTTCGTGCACCTCTGCGGGAAGAGAACGCTCTTCGTGCTCTTTGGCTGACCGCTCGCGTTAGCGTCTCGAAAAACGCCGCTTCACGTTTGACAGCGCGCTCGTCACTTTCCTCACGACTGCTTCGGATGCGGGTCGAGTTCCTCGTAGATCTCGGAGAGTTTGTTTATTGCAGACTCCGCCGTGCACCAGCGCGCTCCGTGCGACGCTTCGCTCAGGAATGTACACACCGCTCACCGCGCCCACTTTGGTAAGACGTAGAGTCTCGTCTTTTTTTTATAATATAGATCTGGAAGAGCGACTCTCCTTCAGAACGTGCTCTGTTCGCGCTGAGGATGAGAGAAAAGATTATTCACGAAAGTCAGGTCGGGGAACGTTTGTCTCTCTTTTTTTCTTTCTCGCCCGTTGAAAGGAATTTAATTTGAGATCCGCCTCGCGACGTTCGATCTTTCATCAGCACGATGCACCGCGATGCTGACGGCGAATTATCGGGCCGTCGTGCGAGAGCGATTCGCTCGCGTCTAGATAACCTTTACTGACGTCGGAAATTCTCGCGCGATTCCAGCCATACGCGACGTATTTGTAGAATCCTGACGCGATATGCGCGACTGAAAGTTGACACGCTCGATGTTCGAGAGAGAGAGAGCAATGCGAAAGAATCAACTGTCATATCTGACAGTTCGTTGGATCAACGACGATATCTCTATGAGCATGCGTTTTATTTCGAGGAATATATCTCTCTCGTGACTCACCTTTCGGAGACGATCCAGCGGATCTGTACGATCGATTAGCCGGGAGATATCGCATTAAGGAGCAGCGGTGAATCCGATATAATTTCCCCACGCAAGATCGTAAATAACGCACGCACAATTCCTGAGAGAATCAATAGATACGAAACTAGTGAAACGTACTCGCCTCGCCGTGGTGCTACGCGATATTCTATGCGACTCTTATCGACAATTACGCTCGATCGCTCGATCTTGCTCGATATTTTCATCGGTTAGAAGAAAAGAACGCGAGACAAAGAGAATGACATTAGCAAAAGTACCGACGGGATTCGTTCGTGTTAGCTGCACTCTTCGTACTTCAACCTGAAACAGGTTAGGTCTGTTCGGTGTTTAAAAAGAATAACGGAGAGGTAACAAGAAGTCTATTCATTTTATTGGTTTTACTGCGCTTTCTGTACTTACAATATCAGTGATAAATATGTATTAGCGATTTGAACGAAAGAGAGAAAGAGAGAGAAAGAAAGAACGTAATTGCAACAGAGGGTACAACAAAAAAGAACAACTCCGAGGTGCAGAAAGTGCACGCAACGGACAAATCCATAATCCGTGATGAAGTGAAATTTCCGCTTCCGGGAGAGAGAGGGAGAGAAAGGGGGAGGAAGAGAGAGAGAGGAAAGAGTGAGAGGGAGGGAAAGAGAGAGAGTGAGTGAGCGAGCGAGTGAGAAAGAGAGAGAGAGAGAGGGAGTGAAAACCACAGATTTTTAAATCGCGACGCGATTCAACATGGTGGCGATCAGCTGTCTTCTGTCACAATGATGTTCATGTCGACGAGTGCGAGCGGATTACTTCGGTTGATCGCGGTGCGCGCGCGCTGCCACTGATCGCGATCGGGTCGCAGCGGCTCTCAAATTCGGCGCGTTCAGTGCTCTCCTGCCGATCTGCCGCTTCGGGATTTGCGTCTTCCGGTTGTTGACGCGCGTGCGACGACACGGGACGGCGGATACGACGCGCTCGCTCATTCGCACGCCCGAAGCGAGAGCGCGACGAGTGGACGCGCAGCCTATCGCACAAAAGCAATATGGTGACTGACCGACCGATCGGCTGTCGGGGGTGATCGAGAGAGCGCACATTCGCGGGGAATGTTTAATAATATTGTCATCGTCGGCCGTGTGCGTCGGTGAGCGCGAGTGATGAACTTGACGTGATCCGGAGCCTCCTTCAAGGCTAAAGAACGTGGGAATCATGTGCGATGTGTGCGTCGACTTTCACGATCTTCTGCTCTCCTGTAAGCTAACGTTCTATTGTGTATACAGTAGTCCGTCCGTTTCTTAACCTATATCGTCCCTCGCACGCGACCGATCGCGGCCGAATTTCCGTCGAGGCGGCGCGTCGCCGTGTGAGGCGTCGTCGACACGATGCGAGAGACGCTCCGGGAGCCTCCGGGTTCTTCGAAACGCCGGAACGCGAGTCACGTGCTGGAGATTTATAACCTTAACCGTCGACTGACTTCACTGCTCGCGCAGTACGCGGACTTTAACGTTCGATCTTGGCCGTTTTATTAGATAAATGTTTCCTCTTTCCATGTTATTTTGGCACAAATGGACGATTTCTCGTTGTAATCTCGCGTCAGCGTGAGTTGCAACGATTTAACCCTTTTATTCGAGTGCGATTGAATATTTTCGGATTTCAGTAAATACAATAGATTCTATTGGGCCTTTAATTTACTCAACGATGTCAACGATATGAAACATTTTCTGCTGAAACTTGTATATTCTCATGTTTTGATAACAAAATCTATACATTATGGAAAATTATTCACCAGAGATATTCGCAATTGGTCTCTGTATTCACTGTTTTCCAGTGAAACACTTGTGATATATTGAAGTATTGTTATAGATACTATAATTATGTTACAAATATCATAAATATTATAACTGTTATGTAACTGTTATTGTGTAACAAATATTATGAGTATTATCAAGTATTATTATGTCATATAATATATTATTTTATGAATAGGTTCATAAGTCATAATATATTATACTATAAATAGATTATTATTAAATCATAAAGAATCCTAAAGAAAATGAGAGTATATGAAGTTTATATATGATATTTCATGTTTATGTCAATTACATTCATGATTTGTATGTTATTCTTGTAGATGACGAACGTTCGTCAAAGGAACAAGATGCATTGGCCACATTATGCGTAACAGATGTGGACACTACATTGCACTATGTTAATCAGTGGATTCAAAGGTATATTAACTCATCTGACTTGTGTGCACACATGTCTTATCACATCATCTTATTTTTTCTCAATTGTATTTAGTTACATGCACAGTGGAATATAGATCATGTAGACAACTGCACTGTCGTGCACTGGACAGTGTTCAGTTACAATATATTTGCTATAATTATCTTTTGTTCCAGGCAATGTATGTGCTGTTATCGCGAAATTAAGAATTTTGATCGGTTCATAAGGCTGATCCAAAGCGTTGTGCTCTGTACGCTGCAACAGTTGCAAGCTATACAGCAAAATGGACAGCAGACGAATGTCGCTAAGGAGATTTCCGAGGAGGGAAAAGACGAAGATGAAGATAAGAGCGATAAGCGAAAATCGAGCGATAGTGTGGAGCATGCACAGGTGGAAATTCAGACGAAACAAACTTGGTCCCAGCAGGACAGGGAGAAACTGTTTCATCTTCTCTCAAAGATTCTCGTGCTGAATTTCCCTCTTTATCTTGCTATGAAACACGGTGGTGTAATTAACCCGTTGGCTCCCGTCAAGGTAAGAACTTTCATTTTACAAAAATAAAACTACCAATTCCCGGGCAGGCACTTAATCATTCTTATTATTTTGCTCTTTAAATGTGAATATTTTTTTGGCGGTAGGATGAAGGCGGTTACTGTGAGCCACACGATCCCGAGGTGCCGGCGCCGCTGATTCGCGCGGTATCCATATTTTGCCACCAAGGAGGTTTCAATCTGATGTCCGCCTGCTTCGATATGGAGAATACACTGCCCGTTAGTCTTGCGCACGCCATGGTCGCGGTAGTTTGTAATTTGAAACTGTGGCTGAACTACGGCAGCGTCATACAGTTGTTTATACCGTTGCGCAGTCGCGTTATGAAGTATATGTGCCGTTTAGGTGACAAGGAGTTGCGTACTCCAGCCGTTAGGACCATGGCTGGTACGTTATCGAAGCTGAGACATATTGACGCTTATTTTTATGTATAATTACTGAACATATGAACACGTTAAGTTGATGGGATTCATGTTGGAAAGGTACGAACTCGCTGCTTTCCACGTAACGCTTTTTTGCTTGCTTAGATTTCATGTGGACCGCGGTGAAGGATCCGATAGACGCTGTACTACCGAGCTTCGATCGCGACGGACTCGATCTGGCATTCAAATATTTCACCAGCACGACGTTAACCATGAGGCTAGCTGGTGTAGGTCAGATAAACGCTCATATCACTGCGTCCAACGAGCTTTGCAACAGCGAGACTGTCGCCGAGGTGGAGCAAGTCGGACACGCGCTCGCTGCTTGGTTAACTGAGAACAACATCATAGCTCACATATTCGGACCAAACTTGCACGTGGAAGTGATCAAGCAGAGTCACATTATCTTGAGCTTTCTGGCGATGGAAGGCAGAATCACATCCTCGGACATGGACACCATGTGGCAGGCCGCGCAGCTTAAACACTGCGGCCGTCCAGTTTACGATCTGCTGGCTCCTTTGGTCAAACATCTCGCACCCACTCCCGTACTTCATTTGTACTCTTTGCTAGGTAAATTAGAACCTAAGGACCACACGGAGCAAAGTCTGTTCTTAGCCTCGGCTTTGATCAAGTTCATTTGGACGTCCGGCGGCTCAGTGGCCTGTCCGAGAAGTATGGTAATGAAGAACAGAGAGATTCTCAGGAGCAGCGGCGGAGTCGGTGGTGGTAGCAGTAGTAGTGACCCGAGCGGAATGGACGCCAGTAGTCCCGAAGACGACGAAGAGGAGGAGGCTAGTCCAACACCATCTGACGGGCCTTCGTCTAGGAAGCAAGCGAGGGCTGACAGCAGCGATGGGGAAGGTACATTATACGTTCGATCTTTGACGGGTAATATATCATATTGTCATAATTATCATTGTAACTGTTAATAATATATTAATAATTATTCTACAGAACGCGTGAATATCTACCCAATCAGAGTCGATTTCTAATGTGTGATAGTGCCAAATTATCAAACGTTAAAATTTAGCAATCAACATCTTGCATTTCGCTCTGATTAACCAAGTACTCACGTTCAGTAGATCGATTCTTACAAGCCACTTGATGTTAACATTGATTAATAATTACTAAAATTATATATTGTCGTAATATTGCAACACATCATTGTTATATTATTAGCGTTACAATACTTTTCATATTTGTAGGACATTACAAAGGAAAATCTTTGACGACCACGACCATCGAGTCGAGTCCTACTGAAATCGAAGGTCTCCATTCCGATAAATCTGAGGGCAACGGGGAATTGGTTAAGGAACACTCATCGACGAACGTTATCCAGGACGAGACGAAGAACAAGCAAAGCGGATCCGATGCTGAAGCGGACACGGAGAAATCCAACACGGAGGAAACATTTCTGCACGAGAAGAAGAAGCGGAAGATCCTACGTAAGCGAAAGAGACCTCAGAAACGTTCATTGAACGCCGTCGAGCAAACTTTGGAAGACATCGTCGGTCAAGAGACCAATGTCAAGTCGAAGAATCTGTCAGTGGACGCAAAAAGCAGAACGGAGGACGTGTTGAACGGTGGTCTGCACGTAGGCGCTTTAGCCTCTTTGGACGAGCCGAAGGGCGTGGATGCGTTAGATCGCGTGAAGCAACAGGCGATGGCTCTGGACCCGAGCGATCAACAAGTTCCTACCACGGCGGCGCTCTTGAGACGCGCCAACAAAAACAAGTATATGCCACCGTTAGTGGGTTATAATGGAATCGATCGAGCAGCCGATTCAGCGGATAGTTCGCACGATGAGGATGACAGCGATGTAGCGGGAGTGCTTGCTGCTGCGGACGGTCCCGGTGCGGTGATATCCGAGCTCGCTGGTCTGGTGCACGCGACTGGTCCTACATTCTTACCCTCGGGTTTAGATGAGATGCTGTCTGACGAGGAAGGCTCGTACAGTAGCAGAATATCGAACAAGAGCGAGAAGAATATGGCCGATTTTGATGGCGAAGAGAGTGGCTGCGAGGAAGAACTCGCTCAGTTGGCGGCGCGCCACCTCACCGCCATACAAATGCAGGCTTACCATCCGCACCATTCGCACTCCACTATGACGATCAGAAGAGCGGTTTGTCAGCCGCCACAGGTGCGAACTATTCGGCAATCGGTTGCGAGATTGAGCTCACAGTTTAACACAGAAACGGTTTGCAAACCCGGCAACACGTTGCTATGGGATCTTCTGCAAGACGATAAGATTGGACAATTGGGTGAAGGTTTGGCGTCGGAAGCAGAAAAAGCATTGTGCAATCTTCTGTGTTTCAACGTCGACCGTGTGATCCCGGAGAAATTCGTTGAGGGTTGCCTGGAAAATCTGGCGATGAACCGTTCCGTGGTCGTGTCACTGAGATTGTTGCCGAAATTGCTCGCGAGTTTTCAGCAAGTAGGCGCTGACCCGCACAAGGTAATGCTAAAGGCTAACGACGATGGCGGAATGATGAAGCATTTCTTTAACAATCTTAAAACTTACATGAGCACGGGACCGAAGAGCAATCTGTATTCACATCAAACGGAGATACAGGTCAGACTGCAATTTCTATCGTCTATTTTCTCACCCTTGGGCTCGCCGGAGACCTTTCGCTTGAGTCTGGAACAAGTGGACATACTGTGGCAATGCTTATCACAAGATCCGACTTGCGCAGACGAACTCTTCAGTTGGCTGTTGAGCCAGGCAAAATCTACAGAACAACACGCTCTAGGAATGGACACTCTGAAGCATCTTTGTATGCGCAAGTTACCGAGTTTACCGGCAGAAACCATCAGCATGACGGGGTTGAGCTTATTTCAGCAATTGTGCAACTTGGCGCGTCTGGCTGCAACACATTACACCGGACTGCCGGAAGTGGACTCGGTAGGTATGGACTTCTTGTGGCGGATTGCGCTGAAAGCGAAGAGCACGGATGTCAGTATGGCGGCTATACAATATATCAATGCGTACTATATCTCGCAACAACTCAGGATGGAGGCGGAATTCGTTTCTCAGTGCATGACGCACCTCGCGGCAGCTAGCGCTGATCTCGAGACGAACGAAGAAGCGAGTTTACGTTGTATACAACGCGCCTTGCTCTTGCTGAGGACGCATCTAGAAGCTTTTCGGAAACGTTACGCCTATCATCTGCGTCGTTGGATGCTGGAGGGCAGAGGCGCTTTTAGCTACGTAGCTATAAACACCTCCGACAAAGGTCAACAATTGAGAATCTTCGTGCAACCGGCTGGTATACCAGAGAAGATGAGTTTCATCCTCTTCAACACGGACTACGTGGCTGACTTGAGGGCCGAAGTGGCTAAATGGTGGGACGATACGCAGAATACTCAAGACAGGTCCGCATCTTCCACCCAGAACGCCCGAGCGCCGAATAGTGGCTCGGTTTTAGGATCATTGCTCAACGACGGCCCGATTAGGATGATTACGCAAGGCCAAGAACTGACCATCGACTTCGACGAAAAGACTTTGCAGGAGATGGGTTTCAAGGACGGGCAACTAGTATTTATTTCACCCGGTGCCAGCAGAGGTGGCGCGAGTCGTTGCGGCGGCAAATTAACGCGAGAAGTCGAATCACCCTCGATGATACCGGCCCCGTCAACGGATTCTGTGCCGACGTTATTGTTGCTGCAACCGCAGTATTTCGAGCAACTGTTCACACTTATGAGAACCCTCAGCGCCATGAGAACGACCGTGAAGGGCGGTCAGGAGATTCCACACACGAAGGCGCAAGTGCTCTCGCGGAGAGTCTGGGACACGCTGACTCTCTTACCAACGAGTCCAACCTTGTTGCGAGGTTTCCAGAAACTCGGCGAGACGTCTCTTCAGGAATTGTTTGATCCGGCGAGTCCACAGAAATTGATGTACTCTTTATACATAGTCGAGTCTCTGAGTCGACGTGGTGTGACGAGTCAGCCGTTGACTAGCAACAATCCTACCGTATCAACCGCAGCGTCACATGAAGGTGGCGGTGACGCCGACGACAATCACGAAAATAGAGAGAAGGACATCGCCTGGTCCACGTTGTTCGTGCAACACGGCGGACTGCGGCATCTCTTTGACATCTTCATGTCGGGTTGTCTGGAGCAAGGAGATGGCAGCGAGTGGCAACAAGATTGTCTCGCTAGTTTGCTGAAACAACTATGTCATCTTGGAGTTGTAAAGGAGGACAAGAAGCGCCAAAAGCCCGACAAACTATTGGTACCTAAACTCAGTGAAGCGATGCTGCGAATGATGAACGTCGATACCGTGATGTCGCGAATTACCAGCATTTTGAATGACGCCTCGTTGCCGCTCGATCCGAATCACTACAAGACTGGACTCTTCGGTCGTTCGCAGGTAATACACTACGTGATGGCGTTACTGGTCTGTTGGGTGCACAGCGATCCGGCAGTCAGATTGTACCTCTTTTCGTCTTCTGAGCCGTTCGGGAAAACGTGGCTGCGCAGACTGGTATTAGAGGATCCTGAGCCTGCAGTGAGACGCGAAGTGTGCACAGGATTGTACAAGTTGTGTCTGGGTACTACCGGCGCGGCGGACGACACCACAGATGTTCCAGGACTGTTGGTGCCCATGTTGAACACTCTACTGGAGCATCTTGTGATCGCTGAGGCTATGCAGCCCTCTCATCGCAAGCCGGACTTACCGTTGCATTTGCATCCTGTGTTGGACGATGGAAAGGAACCCTATGGACCGGCTTGTAGGGATTTCTTCTGGCTACTGTGTCGCCTTGTGGACTCGTTACCGAAGGCGTCTAGCTGTACATCCGCTCATAACGCGGCGTTGTTAGTCGAATTGGCAAAATCAACGCCTGCGACGATTCGGGAGGGCCAAGACGACTCCACCAGCGCCACCAGCATCGACCTGGAAGCGTTGGCGATACGAGTGATCGATTCTGTGTTGAACAGGGAGCACCTGGAGATGCGTCACAATACGGTGGAGGACGACGCGCTGGTCGGCTTGCTGAACCTTACGTGCAACATCATGGCGCACAACCCGCCCTGCAAGCAAGGCAAGATTGGTCAGAATTTGTTGGACGAAGTGTTTGATTTCTTGTTCGCATTGCCTAATCCGCGTAGCAAGCATGTGCCGAAATGCAAGAGCCAAGTATCCAGGTCCGCTGCTTTTGATCTGTTGGTGGAGCTAGTGAAATTCGCACCTGGTAATTACAGGATACTGCACGAGAAACTGCTCGCACAGCATCGTCCGGGACCGCACTCGCCGTATCCGTGGGACTATTGGCCGCATGAGGACGGCCGCTCCGACTGCGGCTACGTCGGCCTTACGAATCTGGGCGCGACGTGTTATATGGCCAGTTGCATGCAGCATTTGTACATGATGCCGCAGGCGCGTGTTTCCATCTTGGGCGCTGATTGCAACCGCGCGAACAAGCACCAGCTGACGTTGCGGGAACTGCAACGAATGTTCGCTTACCTGCTGGAGTCGGAGAGGAAAGCGTACAATCCGAGGAGCTTCTGCCGCGTGTACACTATGAATCACGAACCGCTCAATACCGGCGAGCAGAAGGACATGGCCGAATTCTTTATCGATCTCGTCTCCAAGCTAGAGGAGATGACGTCTGATCTGAAGAACCTGGTGAAGACGTTATTCTGCGGCGTAATATCCAACAACGTCGTTTCCCTCGACTGCGAGCACGTCAGCAGGACCTTGGAAGAGTTTTACACGGTCCGATGCCAAGTGGCGGATATGAGAAACCTCTACGAGAGCTTGGATGAAGTAACGGTCAAGGACACATTGGAGGGCGACAACATGTACACCTGTTCGCAATGCGGCAAGAAGGCGCGAGCCGAGAAGCGCGCCTGTTTCAAGAAGTTACCGCATATATTGTGTTTCAACACGATGCGCTACACCTTTAACATGGGTACTATGCTGAAGGAGAAAGTGAACACGCATTTTAGTTTCCCGCTTCGACTGGACATGTCCGGTTACGTCGAGAAGAAGTTGATGCCACAGCATTGTCAGGACGAGAAGAAAGCATCCGAGAAACGGAAGCTCGAAAGCGATGGCCACGCGTTGCTATCGGACGACGTGGAGGAGGAGGAGGAAGAGGAAGAGATGGAGCATTATCTGTACGATCTGATCGGCGTGACGGTTCACACCGGGACAGCGGACGGTGGACATTATTACAGTTTCATCAGGGATCGCACATCCCCTAACAAAGACAAGTGGTTTCTGTTCAACGACGCCGAGGTCAAGCCGTTCGATCCAAATCAGATCGCTGCGGAGTGTTTCGGTGGCGAGATGACCAGCAAGACATACGATTCGGTGACAGATAAATTCATGGACTTCAGCTTCGAGAAAACCAACTCGGCGTATATGTTGTTTTACGAATGGTGTGCCGATCCCGGCGAGCAGACGAAGGAGGAAGAGGCCACCGTCTCGAGTCCCACCGCCACTAGCGGCCGCTCTTCCTCGTTGATGCGCAAGGATATGAACAAGCTGCCACCGTTGGAGCTCAGCAAGGAGCTCGAGGACTGGATCTGGCAAGATAACATGCATTTTCTACAGGACAAGAATATATTCGAGCACACGTACTTCGCGTTCATGTGGCAGATCTGCGGCTATATACCGCAGACCTTGCTTTCCATGCAGCCGGACATCACGGAGATGTCCGCGGAACTGTCCACGTCCTTCTTCATGGAGACGTTTATACACGCCAAGGAGAAGCCGACGATGGTGCAGTGGGTAGAGCTCCTGACGAAGCAATTCAATGCTTCAGCCGGCGCGTGTGCGCGCTTCCTCGAGCGCATGGCCGGCGACTCGTGGTGGCCTATTCAGATTCTAGTCAAGTGTCCTAATCAGATGGTCAGGCAAATGTTTCAACGGCTATGCATTCATGTGATTCAACGACTGCGCGCTACTCAAGCACCTCTGTACCTTCTCTGCGACGAGGAGAACGACGTCAACACCGTCGGCACCCGATCTTGCGTCACGAGATTCGTCCGCATGTTGCTATCGCTCATGGAACACGCGAAGCAGCACCTCAAGCACCTTACGGAATACTTCAGCTTCCTCTACGAGTTTAGCAAAATGGGCGAAGAGGAGACTGTCTTCCTCATCCGTGTGCAAGCCATTTCCACGATGGTGAACTTCTATCTCGGTCACAAAACGCACGAGTTCGTCGACGCGGTCAGCGAAGAAGAGGAAGAAGAGGAGATTGTCACTGTACCTACGGAGAAGCTCCGATCTGCTTCATTGGACAAGATGATCACGCTGATAGCTACCTTGGTCGAACGCAGTAGAGGGCCAGATCACAGATTGGCGTTGTCGCCTGCGGATCTTAGCGCTGTCGCAGGCGGCAAGGGTTTCCCCTTCCTGTATCAACAGACGCGGGACCTCATCAATCTCAGTCAGACCAGGAACTTGATACAGTCGTTGTGCCGTTGGAATGATCGACTGGCAATACATGTGGTCACGATGATCTTCCAAGCGATAATGAAGCACACCGACGTGTGTCAACCGTTTTTCAAGCTGCTTACCTTGCTAACCGAAAGCTCCGGACCGAGCGGACTACCCTGTATGACTCAGCTGATCCTCAGCAGGGTCTGGGAAGCGGCGAGGGTTGCTCCGCATGGCGCCCTTGAGTGGTTGGCCCTCGCGGTCACGAGAAGCAAGTTAGCGCATGCATGGGTGCTGCAAGGTCTCGACACGTGGCTGCAGCATTTTCTCCTCGAGCACTCCAATCAGAGAGTTCGTTCAGCCGCTGCTTTCCTGCTGGTGTCGTTAGTCCCATCTACACACTTTCGACAAGGCTACCGTAGTGCACATCGCCTCGGTTTGGGCTGCAACGCCTCTAGAGAACTTCAGCTGTCGCCGGAAGCCACTCTAATATTGCATCAGATCTACACGGCGCTCCTGAGGCTGCTGCAACCCGCGAGACATTACATCGACATACAAACTCATGGTACAATGAAGCTCACTGCCTATTTCGCATTGCTCACATACTGCGTAGTCTCTAAGACCGAAAAATTAATGGTAAGCAAACTATATATATATATATATATATTAATGATATATGTATGTACATGCATTCCTTGTATACAATCGGAGATCGACAAGTCTGACGCTTCCACTTGCAGTTTGGCCAATATCTTAACGATCTGTGGACTCTCTTCCATCCGAAGCTCTCGGAACCGAGCATTCCGGTGCACCATAATAAACAAGCGGTACTTTTGTTCTGGTACCACGTTTGCTCCAATTGCCCGGAGAACGTCGCTATGATACTTCATAATCCGCATATAACGAAGAACATTGCATTTAACTACATACTGTAAGTTCTTTCCTTTTTTAATTTCTTTAAGCAACGTTTCGCATTTTTTATGTTTAAGTTAAATCTTTTTATGTTTAAATTAAGCATAAAATTTAGTTGAGCTAATCTGATATTGTACTTTCGCAATTTGGAGAAATACTTGATCTGGCTTTCGGATTGATACTGCGTTTTCTCTCTGAAGAAGTGAACTGGAACGTTCATGAAAACAAATTCACGAAGGGCCAATCTATGGAAGCCAGATCAAATTAAATTAACTTGAGCTTGATTTAACTTAAAGTTAACTCTAATTTAAGCCTAACTTAAAGCTAAGTGACGGTAAACTTGGATTAAACGAAATATTTTGCGGCAATTTTCAAAATTGCGCCAATTGAGTAATGCGTGATAATAATACGAGATATCTCGCTGGCGCAATACCTTAAACGTTATGGTAAAATGCAAAGAGTGAATATTATTATTCGACAAACAAGGAAAAACAATTTTTTTTCTTTCTAATTCGATTTTTCTTATTAATTTTAGAGCCGATCACGAAGATCAAGATGTCGTGCTGTTTAACAGAGTTATGTTACCCGCTTATTATGGCCTCTTGAGGCTTTGTTGTCAGCAATCGCGTACTTTCACAAGACAATTGGCCGCGCATCAGAATATTCAATGGGCTTTCAAAAACATAACACCCCATCCTACTCAGTACTCAACAGTGAGTTCTCATCTGATTTGTACAATGCATTTGTCGTCGATTCGGCTCAACACTTAAACGTGCGTGAATTCCAACTTCAACTTCGCGTTTGAGTAAAACTTTTTCTTTTATACAGGCGGTGGATGAATTATTCAAACTGATGCAATTGTTGGTCCAAAGGCATCCTGATCAAACAGAGCAAGAGGAAGCGGAAATTGCGTCATTTAGAAGAGGCACATTGTCCTCCTATTTACAGGGGCTGGATGGTCGTTCGTGTTGGGCGACTCTTATCTCTGCTTTTAGGTATACTATATACACTCAAAGAATTATATCGTATTAGTATTAATATAACAGTAACTATCGTTTATTACATGTTTTATATATTTTACATATATATTTTAATTATATGTTTTAAACGTTTTATTACATACTGACAAGTGTATCAAGATAAATATGTAAACGCGAATTAATACGCAATATATGAAATGTCTTCCAGAATCCTCATCGAGTCGGATGACGATCGTTTATACGTTGTTTACAACGGCGGCCTAAGCATGGCCCTCGAAGCGTTTCATATGTTACACATCATGTATCACGAAGCAACGGCGTGTCACGTTGCTGGCGACTTGGCAGAGTTGATCGCCATCATCGTAGAGCTGGTGCGTTGCATTCGAACCGCCAGAGACGGTCCGGACGCGAGAAATATTCTCGCGAACTGCAAGGAGTGGCCGGATGTATTGCGTAAACTGGCGACGTTGTTAAACACATACAATCCGCCGGACATGAGAAATCTGGCTATCGACTTGTTGAAGGAACTCGTGATGCTCGTCCCCGCCGATGCAATACTAATCTTAGCGCCGTTACTCTCACACTGCCACGCAGCTCTTCAAGAGTCCCATGCTGCTGTCCCGCCTGGTCCATATCTACCACGAAGATCCACTCCGCCTGGAAAGATGCCCACCAGACCCGCCAGGCCGATGGTGCAGATGGCGGTGCCTCATTCGCAGCTGGAAGCGTCGAAGGGAGTCGATCCAGAGTATGATAGCGCGTTGCTGGAGTTTTACCTACCTTATCACGAGCTCATAGATGTCATGTGCAGATTAGCCATCAATAATGATTGCATGACGGACACGCTGGTGAATTTAAGCGCTATGCTCGGCTTCGAGGGTGAGTAACGGTATCGGACAGATGACTGAGGCGATCACCGCGGCTCCTGATATTCATTTCACGCCTATTGCAGGTGTCCCGCTGCATTTGGCTTTGTTTCCCAGATTGTGGTTAGACGTGCACGCCACCGCACACATAGACAGGAAGCACATAGCGTCTCTCCTTTGCTCCTCTTACACGGTGGACTACGTGGACGCGGTGTTACTGGATGAGAGATCGTCGTTGGGTGTACCGGCGATACACGCCTTCCTCAAGACTTTCTTTCCAAAACTGGCCAGCCACGTGTTGACTGAGCAGACGTGCCTACTCATTGACAATCTGGTCAGTTCAATGACGGCGATGGTGGAGGCGGTAGACGTCGAGGCGTCCGCGCAGAGACTCACCGGTGACCTGCGCGCCCTGGCGCTCGTCTACAGCAGCAGTACAAGACTGAAGCCACCCGCTACTTTGTTGCCGGCGTTGGAGACTTTGTTATCGCGTACACGGACTATTACGGTGAAGAAGAGCAGCTCCTCGGATGGCGAGGCGCCCACTAAAAAGCGCAAGATCGTAAGCGACGACAGCGAGTCGGCCGACAAGGACCTGCGCGTCGTGCAGGTGAAGGACGTCGGTATGGAGAATAGCTTGTCGACGGAGGCGGAGGACAAGACGGACGTGATGAAACACGGCGCGATGTCTTCCGAACCTGGCGACGACAAAGTCGCCGCCGTCACCGTCGCCGCCCGGCAGAAGTCCAGCAACGTTCAAACGGATGCGATTGCCGGCGGCATCAGCAACGTGTCGCCGAATTTGGTCACCACCGCGAATGCCTGTACAAATCAATTGCGCTGCACGTTAACCAACGTATCCTGGCTCGAGATGCTCGAGAGTACCATCGTCGATCTCCAGATGATCGTGCAAGTGCAGAGCAAGAATAATTAATTTTTATCTGCGGCCGATATCGAACGGTCCTTTGAACGAACGGTGCGCGTTGCACAGGCAGATGGAACAGATATGATGATAATGATAAGATAATGATGATGTGGGACCGTCGTTGTTGTCCCTAAATTTTTGACGTTCCCCTGCTCTTACGTGTAATTGTATGTGTGTGGTGTGTGCGTGAATGCGTGCGTGCGTGAAATGTGTGCGCATATGTTACGTTAGCGTGTATGTGCGTGTGTATGTGTGTGTCTGTCTGTCTGTCTCTGTATAATCTTACGTCGATAAAAAGTTTACGTAACGACGTGAATTCGCGCTCCATCGCAAAAATCGAATGTAATTTAGTATGTAATAATGTCGTAAAGAAAGAAAAGTGTATGTATCGACCGCGATTTACTTTCCAAATATAAGAGAATGTAAAGTATTTTCGTTACGATTTAAGTTACGTTACACACAAAAGGCACAAAAAAAGGAGAGGAGAAGTCGTGTCGTGTGGTGTCGTGTACATCCGGACTGAGTAATTTTCACCTGAAATGTTCATTTTTTTTTTTTAGTGCTGTGAGATTTGACCTGTCTCTTCGGGCAAACCGACAAACGTGACGCGCGTACTCGAACGTGCAATAAATAACGTAGACCATCCAGTATTCAAAAGAGCGCGATTGTGCAAGGTATAATTAAGTCTTAAGGTACTCCGCAAACGCCACAAATGCTAATCGAGAGAAACCTTCGTTGACAACATTACTAATTATTTCTATGATTTTGCGCTATACTCGCGTGTGTCTGCTTGCTGCTGTACGTGTGTGTGTGTGTGTGTGTGTGTGTGTGAGAGTGGATGTGTGTACATGTGAAAGGGATCTCACAGGGTTTTTTCGAGAAACAGAAATCGCTGAAGAAATAAGTGGGAGTGCGTACGAAATCATCAGTCGAAATGTCCGTCGCGCTCGTGCGATCATGTCGCGGACACACTTCGTCCGTTTCTCGTTTCGACGTATCTTCCATTGTTCTCTTGCGTTTTGTGATCCGCCTTATTTCGAGAACAGAACAGTCCGTCAGGTTCCACCTTGAGCGATTTCTCCGAACTAAGGTGATTTCGCTTTCGAGGTATGTAAAAAGAAGATCAACATTATCTTTTCATTTGTTTCTCCTCACCATCGATCATATGCATTATACACGATGGAGAAGAGAGGGACGAAGGAGGATAATCTATTAATACGTGCGAGTGTGATTGTGATTCGAGTTGGGACTTGAACTTTATTTCTGATTTCTACGGATTCTTATAGAGACTTAGGTTCTTAGTGAAATAGCGTAGGACTATATGATTAATAAAATTCGCTAGTGTATTTATTTATTTTCGATTATCAGCATGCGCGCGCGCGCGCGGACGAACGCTGTAAATTTCTCAGGAGGGGACAGAGAACTCTCTCGTATTTACCCTCTCTATTACCCGTTCGTGCCGCTTAACTTCATCAATTGTCCTTAGCTTTCCCTTCTACCTGTACGCGCGAGCGATTCTAATATTTTCCTACCACGGGAGCTGCTCGTAGTTGGATCTTGTATCTAAATTCGTCTCAACTCCGTTTTCAGATACTCCATAGTCAAGAAAACGATTCATATAGTAGCTGAAAATGAATTTAAGATGACCTTAAATATGCCCAGCAATGACCCACTCTAACATTACGTCAATTCTATATTCAACGATATAAGCGCAATATAACTTGTGTCTAACATCGCTGGGAGATTATAACATTGATGTAATGTTACTGCTGATTTGTGTTTACTGGGCAAAATCCGACTGTGAATAGCGTCCCATATCCGCCGGCCAGCTCTCTCAGATCGCTACGGGTATCTCACATCACAATTAATCGAACGTAAGCATGAGAGGCTTCCAAAAAGCGCGCTTCTGCCGACGTATCTTGATTGCCGCGGAGCTTGTTCTCGAAGAAGCGGACAGGGTTTCTTTTTTTTTCTATGGGACTCGTTGATTCTCGTCGAATAATGGCACTAAGAAATATATCATCTCGTTCGAATGTAATTCTTTGTTTCGCGATTTATCAGCATTTCTGACCAGGCAAGCACGATTTGTGCAAGATAATACCACTACATTACCGCGACACACACGCTGGACTCGGCTGTTTAATAGAGAGAAAGAGAAGAACTCTTTTCCTCTCATACTAACGCTAAATTCTCACTTTCTCGTCCTCTAGATGTCTCATGATAAGCAGCGACTTTGTATGCTTGCCGAAATTCAAATGAACACGAATTTATTCGATAGATATCACGCGATCGATGAGCAATTACTTTATCCGCTTGATGCAATATTTAACTACTTTAAGTGTCGCTAACATTCGATGTACTTGTGATGAAAATGAGGAAAAAAGAAGAAATAGAAGAAATGCCGACTCTCTATCTTTCTCTCTCTTTCATTATCCAGGCAACGCGTTTACTATATCCATGCAATTCGACATTCAATCCGAATAATGTCGCGTTTTGCGAATTCACAGTGACAAATTTCGTAATAGCGACATGAATCGTCGGTTACTCTCGGGCACGTTTTTTCACGCTGAAAACGAAGGAGAAGCGAGTTTAGGGAGAGAGAGAGAAAGAAGAAAGAGGACAAGCCACCGCCGAAAGATGTTAAATTAGAATCGAACGGATATTTGATTTGCGATCGAACTCACTTGATCGACATTTCACATTCGATGAATTTAGTAGATCTCTAATTTATAATAAATTCATTATTATTCTATTTACGCAGATAGGATAAAATGTTCCAAGATCATTCAAAAAGTATCCAGGATGTCCTGAGGAATGTCCTAACGCATCCTAAGCACATCCAGGACGTTCCAGCTTCTGGGACGTTTTATACTATTTATCTGGATGTAAAATGTATCTATTAATGTTCTATCTATTAACAAATATTTAATAGATAGAATTTATAATAGAGACAGATATCTCGCTATGCACGGGATCTATTAAATTACATGACCAAATTTACTTCGGCTAATTGATGTAACTAACTAATTGATAATTGGCAAATTTAATTGAGACGTGCGAGAGGACACACGGTACGTCTTCTCGCGCGTCCCCGTGCGCGAATATCGCGTCTAATGAACGTGCCGCTTTGCAGAATCGTCGTCTGTCTTTGTACGAGATACTAGAAAGATATATCTGTATACTACGCACGCACGTGAAACACGAAATTTTGCCTGCGAGGGCGGACTTCTTGACGCCGCAGGCCGAAAAGTTTTATCGATCGATTATGTATGTGGATATGTGTGAGTGTGTGTGTGTGTGTGTGTTTACCAATTATAATACATAGGAAATTATACGAGGAGGAGCAGAACGCGGGACGATATAGGCGCATAAATGTGAGAAATGCCGTGAAAGGCGCGATCGTAAGCATTTACAAACTTCTCTGCGTGTTTGATCGATGAAAATTTCGATGATAACGACGTGTAACGAGGGTCGCCCGCCGTACTCTCTGACTTTCTCGATTCTTCTCGACGGCGACGACGATGACGAGTCGTCGACGATTTGTAAACGATGTATGTATTATGATGAACGAAAGGCGCTCACGGTGGCGAACTCGTCAGTCAAGACTGTAATAACAAACAAACAAATTTTTCGAGCGCATTGTGATTTGTCTCTTCTTCTCTTTCTGTTTTCCGATCGTTCTCACCCGTCTCGTCGCGCGGAACCTCTCACCGAAGAAGCCGTGTCTCGCTAGATTTGTATCTTCGGCATGTGTTTACATTTGCGTATCCATTATCATTAAGATGTATAGTTTTTTCGAACGATAATAAAAGTATCTTGATTTTAAGATGAAACGTACCACATTCTTCACCTTTCGCTTTCGCCTGGAAAGAAAGAAAATTCGTGAGCGATATTTCGCCCGTTTGGAAATATTGGAACTGCACTTCGAAATAATTATCGAACCGCCAACAGGCCGTTCAGCGCCATCTAGCGATGTCGCGGAGAACCTATTAGACATAAGCGGGGTTTGAATCTTGGACGAGTCCCAGTGCTGTGAGTTCAGGTAATTTTTGGTGCGTTCGTTTTGGGCATTTACACGCTTAAGCGTCATTCTATCTTTATCGTTCATTACCTACGGGAAAAAGATAGAATGACACTTAGGCGCAAAGCGCCCAAAGCGAACGCACCAAAAGTTACCCGAATTCGCAGCACTGAACGAGCCCTTTGTTAGTTTCGTTATTTCTGCTAGGAGCATCTGCCTCTAGCATCTCTGAGCAATCGAAATCGTAGTATGAATCAATAATAAGTTGGACGTGTCTCACTTTCAAGTGGTACACTCAACGGTGGATTTGCCAACTTTCTTTTTCTTTTTATTTTTAGATAATAAAACCGTTTCTTTTTCATTCTCAATAACAGGTGTGTAATTGCTATGAAATATTGTTAATAATAATTTATTAGTCATCAATTATAAAGGATAAAAATCAATCAATTATTTTTCATTTTTAAGGTATAATTGATTATTATAAATTAATATCTTTTATAACATTATTTAGATGTCAATTTTTTGGTTTTAAATTACTTAACCTTATTTCGAAGTATTTAGGGTATAAAGTGAATTACATTTTTTATCAATTATATACGTACACATGCGGAAAATAATTAGACTAAGGAAGCACTTAAATGTGCAAGATGCTGAAATTAATAGGAACAAGTTCTATTTACTTGTGTATTTATAAAATAAAGGAAAAATGAAAGGAGATATTTTTTTATAGATATTTATTAAAGAAGAAAAGAAGAGATCAGAAAAAGAAGTATGAATTATTTTCTTCAGTTTTTTGCGTTTTCTTTTTTTCTTACATTTTCCCGGTATAAAACCAAGTTTTTTTTCGTCTTATTTTTGCAGAGTTACGTGACCCACTTTTATATTTTCTACAGCTGCATCAGTCTAGAATCAGCTGAGTTGACAGCATTATCGTGTGTGCGCGTCTGCGGAGGAAGACGTTGCATTCTCAGCGTTCTCCGACGAGATGCATTTATCTGTCGTTCGCATCCGCGAACACGCATCAAAAACGACTCGAAACGCAAGTTAAATAGCCCACCTAGAAATACGTAGATTACACGTCGCCTCTAATTGACTATACATAATGGATAACGTGCGCTCGCCGATGGATAACCTGCTCACCATGTTGTCGAACTTCAGCGCGGGTCACGAGAAGGGTTTGAAGCAAGGGATCTACAATGCCGTTGCACTCTTCTTGCTGTTCCTGGTCCTGGCAGCAGGATATGGTCTCTACTTCATACTGAGTCCCTTTCTCAAGCCCCTGATTTGGGCCCTACTATGTGGCTCAGTTCTGTTCCCATTCAAGTATTCATTGGCCACAACAGTACAGTCATGGTTCACCAATGTGGAAACGTCGCACACTCCTTTGGTTGTCAACATCAGCCTACTACCTGTGCATATATTCGACAATGTCTCTGAACGCTTGGGTTCTTTCCTATGGACAAATATCAAATATATTATTGGGGTGCTTCTGTTACTGTTGGTGATTTTAGGCACATATTATTACATCCCTCTTGTAATGACATGTCTGGACTGTAGGATATTTCGCATGTTTGCAGCTGTCTCAGAGTTCTTCATTATGACATGCAATATTTATACGGTAATTCACACTATATTTAGTCTAGAGGTTTATTCTTTTTGGTGAAACTAACATAGAATTAAACGTTGAAGAGAAAAAGAACAAAGTTCCAGTGCGATACTAGTTTAGCTGAAAAGAACAGGCTTCATATTTGATGATTTCAGTCAGACAATGAATCACCCAGATACCTATTTTAATTAGTAAATAGGTATCTGGGCTATTGAGATTTTAATTTAAGCTTATTAATTTATTAAATTTAAATAGAAGCTATTAAAACTTTATACTATGTACTTATTCATACTATATCATAGTATATCATAGAGATATTATAGTATATCTTCACAGATACTCAATTGGATTTTATTTTGCAGGTCTCCACGGTGCTCATCGGATATCTGACGATTCTATACGTCTACTGGACACCTGCGAACTCCGTTCGATTCTGCTACACGTCCTTCGTGATATGGCTCATCATCAGCATGTACTTGTCCAGTGGAGCGGGCGTTTATCGAGTCTACGCGTTCGTCGTTCTCCAAATCTTCTACGTCATAGGATTCATTTACGAGGTGTTGTCAATCATGGAGAATCAAGTGCTGGACAACGACAAACACTTGACGTTCTCAGAAGCCGCGCGCTTAGCTCTGTTAAACAATCTGTCGGCGAGTCCGCAGGAGGATAAAGCACTCACGTTGGAGAGTGAAAAGCGTACGAATGATATTCCAGAGGAAGAGGACGACGTTTCTTTCGGAGAAGAAGCGAAAAAATTAGAGCCCGTCGACGCGACGAGAAAGGACAGCATCACTCCTACCATAACGAAGCTTGGCTTAAAGTCCATGTCTCTGGACACGGACGCTGCCGGCTTGTCGTCCACTGGCAAATTGGCACGTAAACTTTGGCCCGGGTATAACGTATACTTCACGTCACCGCGTGACCGTTATCTGTTGGGCAAGTTGAAGGCCGAGTTTCGAGTGTCGATGGACATTGAGGACGACAAGGTCGACACCGACAAGTACATGTACGCCGCGCTATACGCGTGCATCGGTATGCTCCTGTGGAAACATCTGTGGATCATGCACATTTTGGTGATCCCGGTGGCTTACTACATCATTAAGCAGCTGGGCGGTTACTTTGGCTTCTGGGATACGATACGCAGGCACTGCGACGCGATGATGCGAACGGTCAAGTCGTGGTGTCTGGAACGACATCAGGCGCTTTTACCTTCCAACATCAGGGGTCTTTACAAGATGCTCGTCATCGTGGACGAAAAAGTCAGAGGGGCTCTGAAGGGCTCCGTCGACTCCGTGGCGACTATCGCTGTGATACTTGGACTCATCGTCTTCACCACTTGCGCGTCCATTTTCATTACCGTACAGGTAGAGATTGAACTTGAAAACTCACGCTTACGTTTGTACATATTTCTATGTTTTGTCTAAATGTTGTTTCTAAATTCTTTACTCGGTTCCATTTTCTTCAGGTCTACGCAGAAGGTTTGCATCTGATCGAGGTATCGGGTGAGATTTTGAACTCTTTCATGAACAACTCCGATATCGACTGGGTACCGGAGAAGTGGGAAGAGTCCGTCAATAGCGTCTTGGACAACGCTTACACCTACGGACGAACCGCTATATCAGATGGCGTAAGATTCGCTTTTTTTCCCTTGTTCTTCCTTGTCGAAATCAACAATTTTGAATGGCTTATCGACTTAGATTCGACGTCTAATGATCGATCTCGAGCCAGCTAAGGCTGAGCAGATGGAGAAAAAGGTCTTAGAACTCTGGGACCGTCTCTACCAAGCGTGGATGATGAGCGAAGACAACAATATCATTGGTCCTACCGTGGACATCACATCCGCATATAACGCTTGGGAAAGCCTGAAGGAGGGCTTCGAGAAGACGCCTCTCCGTAAGGCGTCTTGATCTTGAGAAATTGTTCGCACACATGCGCGAAATGCCGTACGAAAGTTCCATTTTTTTCAGAGATGTTCAACATGACCGGTATACAGAATTTCATCAAGGAGAACATCGGTATCTTGATGTCAGTGCTCGATTCCGTCTGGAGCATCGTCAGGGGCAACATGTCTATCATTCTCACAATTTTCACGGAGTTGTTCTATGTCGTGCTCATGAGCGGGTCGGCAGTACTGAACTTCGTACTCAGTACGGTATGCAACGTGTCTCGTGAAGTTTGTCTTCTTCGGTTCTTGAAAGGAAGACATGAAATATAAGTATCTTCCGTTTCAGGTGGTATTTTTCACGACTCTGTTCTATCTGCTCAGCTCCAGCGGTAAAACTTACAAGCCCATCGAATTGACAACGTCGTACAGCCCTATTAGTTGTCACAGGTAAGTATCCGGATGCCCCAGACGCGTTGGCATTTTTATTAGATGCTTGTAGAAGAGATCGTCTTCAAACTTTTATGAGAACGTTTACTTTTAACAAGCACGCCGCACGTAGAAGGGTGAGTTAGTGTGTGATATATCAAAGCCATTGACTGCTCGTTCAACCGACACTATCTTCTGCAAAAAAAGAAGAAAAAGAAACGTATTGCTCCTTGTGAATCAAAGATGCACATGAGACAGTGATGTCGCTTTGTCCAGGTTCGCCATGGCATTACAGGAGGCAGTGATTGAGGTGTTTGCGGCCACCTTCAAACTCGCCTCCTTCTTTGGCATGTGGACGTGGTTGATACACAACTTGTTCCAAGTGAAGATCGTCTACTTACCGTCGGTCTTCGCGACTATGCTGGGCGCGGTACCCTTCTTGGATGCGTACATCGCCTGCATTCCGGCTACTGTGGAACTCTGGTTCACTCGCGGCTCAATGATCGCCATCTCTTTCTTCCTTTTCCACTTTCTGCCATGTAACATTGTGGTGACAGAATTTTACAAGGAAATTAAAGGGTAATTGCTTCGCAGTAATGGTTCTTTCGTAAGGTCGAAGGTAACACATTACCTGTAACTTGCTGTTACTTTTTTTTAGAATAACTTGGTAACGTTATTTTTCCATTAGATAAAAAATGATCCTCGAAACATACTGAGGAAAATAATAAAAAATGTAATAATGACGTTAATGAATTATGTTTTAAAATGAGTGACGTAATAATAATTAATTACTTCTTTAATGACAATTGGTTACTTTATAAAAGTAACTTTCTTATCTTTATCTCTCTTTCGTGTGTCATTCTTACGTCTCTTTTATTGTTTCAGTGGTGGACATCCTTATTTAACGGGTTTGTCGATAGCGGGTGGAATTTTCTGCTTAGGCGTAGAAGGAGCAATATTCGGTCCTTTATTGCTCTGCTGCATTATGGTCGCCATCAACATGAGTCGACGTTACCTACACTCGCCATCATCCGCAATGGAGAATAGAACGGTGTATCTGGATACGCCATAAAATATACGAATCGATATAACGTTACGCTTATTCGCTAATAAGACTAATACTTTAGTTGTGTAACATTGCGAGCTATTAGCTCCGGCTTTCTCATTGTATAATGAACGCTGCATCGACATGCAGCGAGCACACGAACGCACGACAGTGCGTGTAACTCGCGCTTTATATATTTCTATGTGATGAGATGCGCGCAATGTGACTGTACGATTTACTCGTATCTAACTTCAGCTTACGCTTATTAAATTTAAAGATATTTATATTATATATGGTGCGTGTGCGCGTATATTTGAAATAATATATTTTTTATTTATAAGCGTTTTCTCTCTTAAATGAAACGTCCTATTTCCTTTTTTTTTTTATGAATCTGAAATCAAGCAACTGAGATTATCTTCCGTGATCTTTGTATCTCTCGTGCAAGAGATATATTTTTTTATACTTATTTTTAGTTACCAATCATTATATGGAATATTATTTTATGTATCGACAGTGATACGTGTTTTATCGCAGTATATTGTTTCAGTTTATGTGTATAATTGTTATATTGGTTACCAATATTGGTTTGTGTATGTAGGAACAAATTGTACCACGTCGACTAACTTCATAGATCTAACATGTTATTTTTTACGTCAAAAACAAAGGTGTACGGCCAAAGATTATAATAATAAATTTCTCAACGTTTCGTTGCGTGTGTTAAACCTCAAATTATAATTTGCATTGAAGGTGCTAAGCGACCAAGGTATAACCACTATAACACAACAATGTTTAACTTGATGTCTGTGATAATCGGCGGTGCTGTGATTACGCTTATCTTTCTCATCGGATTAGAAATTTATTTGCATTACGATAATTATTTTCCATCAAGAGCAGCTTGAAGAAAGACGGTACTGATCCACTTGAAAAAAGTTTATTCTTTTGAGAGAATTCAGTACTTGCGATAAATTCATAATCAATATCTCGTATTACATGTATAACGAATCACGTAAGAGCACCCTAAACGTTAACGCGCGATTAATGTGCATTTTTTGTGCCGACTAGTTGTCAGCAAAATTACCACGTGCATTGTAAATATCGGACAATGTGGTCATTTTTATATCGTCGCGCAACAATTCCGCCGTGGTCGCTTCCTGCGCATGGAAAATAACTTCTTTCTGTTGCTCGAACATGTGAAAGCCATTTTCGGAGAAACGACCGCGTATGTTGCCCACTTCTAGCCACACAAACAGCGCTATATTATCTGTCGTTAATACGAGCTTGAAATCTGGATAATTGAAAAGTTTTCCAGGTAAATGAGCCTCCTCGATTCTTATCTGAAAGAAAATTAAATCTCGATTATAAATACATACAAAAATAAATCTAAATAAAGTAATCAACTTATAAAGGAAAATAGGCATTTAGGAATGTTTTTTTTTTTTATATTATCGCTCTCAAGTTGATTTTGTGACAGAGTGATGCGTTGAATGTGATTATAAATTACTAATAAATTCACTTACAGTGACATTGGCTATTGTTATATCCACGTTTTTTAACGCGGTGGGATAGATGTAATTAACCGGTGCAATTGAAGATCTGGATTCATCCGTGAGCGATAAGGTGACTACGCAAGATTTCTTGGTGGATTCCAACGAGCCGCAACCCGCCTGAGAGAGAAACGCGTCTAACCAGAAGGTTGAGATTTGAATGGCTTTGTTGGGTGGCTGAAAGCGTTAATAGTGTGTATACATATGTGCACTTACATATGAACAGCGTGTATAGAGTCTATTGTCGATATACTCACTACTATGACATTGTGATAGGATTTGGTGTGTATAGGCGTCATAGATTTCCAATTGTAAACGCGAATATCCACATGACAATTTGTTAACCAGAACAATTGGTCAGATACGACGTATATTGTAAGCTCATCGGAGTTCGTCAAGCGCGATGTAACAATAACGGGTGCGAAGAAGTCCTTGGCATAGTAATGAAGCATTTTCCATCGACCTTCGATATCTACAAGTATAAAACAAAGAGATTTTTAGAGTAAGAACGATGGAGTACAGTTGGAATTTTTTGAGTTCTATCTCTAAATTAATTTTACTTGTTCTAATCTTGAAGTATCAGTGCTTTTACCTATGGAGGACCATGAAGGCGCTTGCCACACGTCGTTCAATTGCCAATAGAGAGCCCCCATCGTCATACCCTCGCCTATGGAATTTACCTCTGACTTGAGTTGCCTGTACCCTTCCGTTTCTACTTTTACAGAAACTGCCTGATTGACCTGACTGAGATATATGTAACTTGCGAAATCTCGGAAGCTGTCGTTACTTTGCGGTATAATGAGGTTCTGCGAGATCAGCAGCTTCATCAACTCATTGCCGAATGGCAGATGTTGCCGATGCTTCACGAAATCGCTATCTATACTCAAGTCCTTCGCGCTCTCCACAACGGTTGCTATCGTGTATATCGACGGCCAAGCTTGAAATCCGTACTCTGAGCAGAATCTCGTTCTGGGATACTGAGTCACGTCCCATCCATTTCTGAGGTAGTTATAATAGTGAACTAAAAGGAGATGTTTAACGCTGTGATCGCAAAGACCGTGCAAAATTAACAATTGCATAATTAGAAACGAAGTTTAAGCAAAATTACTTCTTCTTTCATTCTTTTCTACTTTTCTTATTTCCACTTTATCAAATTTCCCGATGTTTCCAAAGAATGCACAGTTTTAAGTTGTGAAATTCGTTTTTATTTAGAACGAGCTGCTATATTAATTATGAATATTAATATCAATTACAATCTGACGATACGTTACCGTCACCGTAGAGATTTAAGTATGGATCTATTCCGGTGTAATTGTACGTTTCCTCGTACGCTCCGTTGCCAGGACTAGACACGAGGAACGGCCTTACGGGATCCAGTATCTCCACTTCCTTCTTTATCAAGTTCACATAAAGCTTCATATAATCCGTCCTGTATATCTCGGCGGAACCAGTGTTGTACCAATTCCCGTAGAGCGCCGCCTCGTTCTCGTTGTTGCCGGCCCAGAGCACGATGCTTGGGTGATTCTTCAGACGTATCACGTTCTGCACAACCTCCTCTCTCACGTTTTTAAAAAACGAGTCGGTTGTAGGATACATGGCGCAGGCGAACATGAAATCCTGCCAGATCATGATGCCGTACTCGTCAGCCAAATCGTAGAATAACTTGGATTCGTAAAGACCGCCACCCCAAACTCTCAGCATGTTCATATGCGTCTCCTTGGCGGACGATAGCAGGTGTCTGATAGTTTCCTCCTTCGCGCCCAACTCCGGGAAAATACTGGCTGGGATAAAGTTGCTACCTTTCGCGAAGATCGGCACATTGTTTATGCGGAAATAGAAGCTTCGACCCTTCTTCAACGGCTCCTCCACCAATTCCACCGTTCTGAAGCCTACACGGATCTGTTTGTGCAGTATTTCATACACCGTTGTCACCGTAGTGGACAAATAGTACAAGTTCTGCTCGCCGTAACCGTTTGGCCACCAAGTTTTCACGGCATCCTATGGAAGGAAGAAGAATGTTAGACCGCACCATGGGATGACGATACCGACCATTTAAAGAGTTTATCCTCCAACTGTTTAAAAAAACCTTATTTCAACGAAAAATGCAAATTTTCTAAAATTTAGATTTAAATTGGTTTGTAAGGAAAATCCATCATTCTTCTCTTTCTCTTCGCTTAGAGAAGAATGATGGATAAATGGGGCAAAGTTGAACAAAAATTTGATCTCTGTAAACGTTGATGCACTTACCGCAGGCACAGTTAGTTGAACGTTAATATTTACGTATCTCTCGTTCGTGTTGAGCATCGTTTCGTTAGTTTTACTGATGACCTCGTCCTGCGAGATGTGTAACGTCGACGCGGTCGTGACGACGAGACTCTGGGACTCATCGCTCTTTCTTTGCGTTACCTCGAGAAATATCGTGAGGAGAATTTGCCAGGTGTCATCTTTCTTGCGTATATCGGCTGTTACATCGTTTATCATTATATCATTCACAGGAACCAACTCGACATCCTTCCTGCAAACTTCTCATGTAATACGTAAGGACACGAGGTACAGATAAGGTGATCAGTTCTTAATTACCAAATGCCGATCGAGGGAAAAGCGGGGCCCCAGTCCCACGAGAAGCTAGCTTGCATCTTACGTATGTGGTTTACGTGGCATATTCCGTTGTATTCTTTGGGTACGCATACCGGTTGTACGATGTAACTCTTCTTCTGCTCATTGTATAAGTCCTCCGCTACTTTGACGGCTGAGCGGAACGCGACCTTTAGCACATTCTTTCCTTCCTGAAAATTTTCACATGAACAACTCGCATCATCAGCACACATACTTCACATGCACGTCGCCCGATCTCCTCACCTCGATATAATTCGTCACGTCAAACATGTATCTCAGGAACATATTTGAAGTCTCTCCGATCGCATGGTTGTTCAGAGTGATATTGGCGAACGTGTCGACTCCGTGAAAGATCAAGACAATCCTGCGGGCTCTTAGAAAATCGTCGCTCACTGAAAAACATGTTGTTTAGATTTCTCTCTGCAATTGCTAGGTGTTTAAGGATCTTCACATTGATGCAGACTTGATGTAGCTTCATGTTTGATTCAAATTTACCAATGAAATCTTTAGTGTAAGTCACAGATTGATTTCCGACCCAACGATTATTGACATCGTTTTTTCCCAGCAGATTGTCATCTATTATATTATCCATGTACAAATCCGTGTAAATTCCTCCAGGAACAGTCCCAGTAAACTTGATATCTGTGAAGTATAATAATCATGGAATCAGCTCTAATGATTAAAAAATGAAGGAAGATATGTCGTGAATTAGAAGAAGAATCATGCTATGTACTCAGTTATGTTATCATGTATAAACACCAACTAATAATAAGATCACATTAATGTTATAATTTTTCATTTAGCAAAGTGTGATATAATACATGTGTATAACAGTTATATTATTAAGTAAGAATTATAATATTGATGTAATGTTTTTGTTAGTTGATGTTTATTCTGGATGTTAAAACTTTATAAAATTGAGTCCTAATCTTATCACTATTGCATTCTTCAGAGAGACCCTCACCTAAAAAATATATTTTCATTATAATTTTAATAAATATAGACACACATAGTTGTACCATATGGCGAATCAATCTGACAAAAAAAAATTTGCATGCTTGTTGTTAATAAAAGACAAGTTTGGGAAAAGAAATATGTAGTACTCACCACATCCATTAATGGTCCCATTCCAAACGCCATTTAGGGTTATGATTTGACAGTTTATACTAATTAAGGATGAAATCCACAATACCAAAGTGAAGAACTTCATGTTACCTGGTAATGAATATGCTGATAATTACTTGAAGTGAAAAACTAATAACAATTAATTTAATGAAAATTCTGCGTGCATTTGATAGTTTTTACATTGTAGATTGTATGAAATCTTTTATAAAGATTGCAATAAGAATGAACAGTAGCTTATTCGAGTAGTAAATTTACACTATCTTTGATTCTAAAAATGCATTTCATAATCTCACATTGATTATCTTTCCCGATAAGACCAAAGTTTATTCTATAACCTTTGATACTAAGGGAGAATGATGATGTGCTATATATTACATTCATTTATCTCAATATTGTGTCACATGGCTGGTGGTGAGTTAATGATACGAAAGTGTCGATTGAAGAAAACGTTTTCAAATATAAAATACGTGTGTTAATATGAAATTTGTAAGAAACTCTCTTAAATTGACGTTATGTTGCAATTTTACTTATCAGTAACACAAGTATTACATTAACACAAGGTTAATGAGAACTCTTGCGACAATCTTCGTGTGTTATTTTATTTATAAACAACAAGTGTGATCTTATTAGTATAAAAATATTATATATCAATTTAAATTTCAGTGTGTCAATGTTACACATGTAAAATTATATTATTTACTGTGACGATTATATATATATATATATATATAATCTGTTAAAAAATGTAGTTTTGACTATGAGGCAATCATCAATTTGATGCTTTAGTAGTTCACCGTAGACTGCTTAGAATTACTGCTTAAAATTACTGTGCGCATATTGCAAGATAGAAGTATCATTCGTACGCGAATGGAATGTATTTACATATACTCAACAAATTGTGAGATATATCTATATATATACATATACATATATATATATATATATATATACATATATATATATATATATATATATATATATATATATATATATATATATATATACACACACATATATACATATACACATATATACATACATAATTTGTATATGTATGTAATATAATTAAATATATATATATATATTTAATATAGGGTGTAGTTATCCCGACTTTTTTAAATCTCCTGTAAACCCTGAAATTGTTTAAAGTTAGCAGACTGTTGATACTGCCAACTGTGTAATTCTTAATAACGCGCTTAACATTATCAGAATATGATATTCCTTTCTCCATAGGATTCACTGTTTATGAAATAATATCACGAATATCATTATAAAAAATTAAATGGAACTTTTAAAACGATATATTTCTTTTATATGTGAGAAATCGAATGCACACTTATTGTCAAAAAGCATGATTTGTGCGAAAAAAATAAATAATTGAGTAACAAATTTACAGCGTATGATACTGTAAAGTAGTAAATGATAAAGTAGGAATGTTAATAAAATGCGAAATAAAATAAGCGCCGATCGACAATGTTACGTAACAATACTTGAAATATCTCGGTAAAATTATCGCTTTTTGCCCCTAAATAATATCAAAGAACAAATATATATATGTTTGAGGAATAGTATTATCTTATAACCATTCTTGTAATCATATAAATCGACCGATCAATGCTTTCTCTTTCTGTTTGTAAACACTCGTGTTCTACTGTGAGAAGGCGACTGGTCCATGACATGTATATTGGGATTGCTGCTCGCACCTTTCTGGCTGCTGGGTTTGTGGGTGTAGTGAGACGAAGGGATGGATACGACGTCATCATCTGATTCTGAAAGTGATTAGATATAAAAATGAAATTAAGCCCCAAAAACAAATATTAAAAATTAAAAATTTAACACGATGATAAGCGCATCGACGCTAACGAAAAAATGTATTTGAGTTTCCACGAATTCATTGAACTTCTAATTTCCCAACTGATCCACATATTGTCTGCACTTACACAAACACATTGATAATTGCAAATTTTCAAATGTTTTGACATTCAAAATTGGCAATCGAGATAGTGATAATGAAACTATTACAGAACAATGTTCTAAAGAGTGTACCGTGCAAATGCTTCTTTCTACTTTCTATGCATCGTCTAACGTGCTGATTATACTCCAGTTCATCTCTCGTTTTGTAGCTGTCGCACACATTACATTTGAATAGATTTATGTCGTCGTCGTCGCTCTCATCGTTTATCTCGAACTGATTGCAGTCGGCGGCGTGATTTATTATTTCATCAGGTGGAAACGGCTTATTGCATATAGGGCAATTGATGTTGTTTGTTGAGTCGCTGACTTTCTCGTGCCAGTTACCGTTCTGCGAGACGGACTGCTACGAACAAAAGAGAATTGTTTGTCTTAATGATAGACAGTAAAGAAGTGGCGATCGTGTGATATCGCGGAGTGACATATATTGTGAAACAGAGAGTCTGATATTAGACACATATTAGATATAATATATAATGTTAGGTATAAACTAGATCATCTGTCTGATATCCTAACAAGACTAAGATACTCTCATTAACTCACTTGATTACTTTCCTCGTCGTCCAGCAATTCACGTTCCCAATTCACATCTTTGCTCTTTATCTCGCACTTGTCCTCCTTTTTCCGTTGTTCGTCGAAATCTACTTTCTTTTCCTTGCCGCTTCGCTGTCTGTCGCTCTTTCTTTCCTGGTGTGTCGTCGATGTCTCTCTCAACGTCTCCCCATTGTTGGATGACAGTTGTCTCTCTTGCAATCGAGACTTCGCTTCCTTCGGTGACCGAGTTTCCTTTTGTAGGATTGCTGCCACTTCTCCGTCGCTATCTTCTTCCAGTTTGCGACGGATTTCCTCGTCGGTCATCGTGTTGTCCTTCTTTTGATTTCTCGTTCGTTCGACCTCTCTATTTTCCGCGGTGCCTTGTATCTTCAGAGACAATCTCCCTCTTCGGAGTCTGGGAAGATGCGGACGCGCTTTCGGAGTGGAAGGTACTGCTCTTTTCGGCTGCGTGATCAACACGGGCGACACTCTTTCATTCTCCTCGTCCTCAGTTTTCCTTCTGCGAGATAATTTGACATCTTCGTCGTCAATATGCATAATATCATCGCCGTCATTGTGAGAATGCTGTTGACGCGCGGTCAACGTTGCTGCCTCGTGTCCGCTAGGAGTTTGCGTATGTTGTTGATTCGCATGATCGGTTACGTTGTTTGACTTGGCAGATTGGATCTTCTTTTTCTTAACACGAGCGAACTCGTACTGATCGTACAGGTCTTCGTCGCTGGAACTCTCTTTATTCAGACTCGCGCATTCCTTCGCGATGAGAGAATTTGCCTTACGCTTACTAGACCGCTCGTAACTATCTCTATATGCACATTCCGCCTTCGGAATCAGCTCAGTCTTAGGTTCTGTTACTGGCTTTCTATCCAAACTGCCGTTAGCAGTGCCGACCTACAGAAACGTTGAAGCAAGGATTAGAATCAGAGAACAGACAGAATGATGTAGACAAGTATACTCGTTCTTTTTTGTACATAAATATAATTTATTCAAAAAGATCTTGTAGTTTACAGTATGTAATGACCGCGTTCTTACGAACGCTCACGTGTACATGATCCGTATAAATGCACAGTTTCAAAGTATCAATAGAAAATATCAAACATCTTTCTTCGGCAACAAAATGCCAGTGGCTCACAAACAACTCTCTGTTGTTGTTGTTGTTGTTGTCGTTATTGTTGTTTTATATATGTATGTATACCAATAGTAAGTTAAAACGACCAAAGCGACATTGGCAAGTAATATTATATGGAAGAAATTTATATATAGCGTTAGAGTATAAATCCATTCGAGATAATAAATGCGTATATCTTGGAATTATATCGAGGTATCGTACTGTACAATTTTTTCAGGAAAAAATGCGGAATTATACATCGCGGATTTGTAGTGCAGAAGAACGAAAACAAAAATGGATAATTGGGGAGAAAGATCAAAAGAAAGAAAGAAAAAAAACTGATGTTCTATACTTGCGACGTTCGTCGTAAGAAGCCTTCCGATGTGAATTGAGCCTCCCGTGATACGACTCTCGAGAGACAACTCGTGGATAATCTCGATCGCTCCTCGATGAAGTCGCGCCAAGTTCATTCGCAGAGCTAGGAGACTCAATCGAGCACATCGACAATGTGCGACTTCAGCGGGCTTAATAATATCTCCGAGCGAATACAAAGATACTTACGGCTAAGGTTTTACGGATCGCAAAGTGGCGAAACGAAAATCAGATACTGACGAAATCTCTCCGTGACACCGAATTTCAATCGCGTACATGGAGATATCGTATTAGAGAAACGCGTGCAGGCGCGCGAGGAGTGTATACATACATTTTTTCACTTTCTTTCTTTCTTTCTTTCTCTATTTTCCTTGTCTCGTTCTTTCTCTGTCTCTTCGCCGAAAGAAAGAGCATTTCGCGCTCGCGTTAGCGATACGAGCGGTACGGTTTGGATTGTAGGGAGCTACCCACCTCGATGGGTACGCCCCACTCAAATTTCGCATTCGCAGGACGCTGCCAACTGTACCACAAGTCCGCCACTTCCCTCAAGTGCTGGCCCAGAGCCCGCATCTTTTGGTCGTGTTGCTCGGACGTGTACGTCTTGTCGCGGCATCCGGAGGAGGAGGGCGCGCATTTTCGCGCCGCGAGTCGGCTCCTCGGCTGTTGCAAAGGCACGTCGTTTTCGTTGATACAGACGTCGAGTGGGTTCATCCGCCACCTCTCCATCCGCTGGTAGTAGGTGCTCTGCGTGGCACACTGCATCGTCTTCGCATCCGCCGGCGAGTTCTGGCATTCTTGTGCGTCGTTTCCTGACTTAGTCGGAACGGGACGACTCGCGCCCGACTGCTCGTGCTGCTGCTTCTCCGACGACGCTGTCTCGTCGTTCTCCGCGCTCTTGCGCCCTTGCGCATCGAAGATAGACGAGTTGGACGAGCTCTCCGGACTGCCAGAGTGCCGAGAGTTCTTGCGTTCTTGTTGCGGAGACGTACGACTCGGTTTGCACGTCACTTTGGGCAACTCCTGCGCGACGACTATCTGCTGTTCCTGCGATTCTGTCTCGGCTGCCAGATCCGATAGGCACTCGTTGTCGGAATGTTGCTCGTTGTCCTATTGAAACATTGCAAGAAAAAAGCAGAAAGATTAATTTCTGTCTTCATGGATCCTTCGACGAGCTTGCATTCTTCTCGATTTCCCCACAATCGTGAACAACGTACCTTCTTGTGTGCGTGTTTGTTATCGGTAGCAACATTCGGTGTAGTCTCAGAATTACTTAGGAAACCAAGCAAGTGCTTCATTTGTTCGTAAGTATCCGTTTCATCGTAGATTCCCATATCTAAACAACAATAAAAAATTGGTCATTGCATGTTTAATACAGCACACTACCCAGATAGCACAGAGAATTCAAAAAGAATTCAGTTATATGTTACTAATTCTGAGTTCATTTTTAAATGCAAAAAGAATTCTTTTCACTGAACTTCTTTTTGCACTTGAAAATGAATTCAGAATTGGTGACATATGACTGAATTCTCTTTTAATTCTTTTTGAATTTCCTGTGCTATCTAGGTAGGTTTCAAAATGGTTTAAACCCTTTTTTTGTGCAATTTGGAACGTAACTGATGGTTTAGCGAAAGAACTAGTTTGTGATTAATTTTTAGGTATCAATGTACAAATGTGTTCAATTTACATGTGATCTTAGGGTAAAATACTCAATTACATATTTTGGTATTACAAAATTATTGATATCTTTTTTAGTAATACTCTAGAAAAACATGTCAATAATTGCGTTCAACAGAGAACGCTGCTTTAAATCTGTTGTAACTTTCTCTACTGAACACAGCCATTAATACTATAGAAAAGCCTGGTTTTTCTTACAATCAACATTGCAGTTAAATTTCTTGTCTACATTCTATGATTTCAAAAAGGAACTTCACAACTGTGAACAACAAGCTTTTTGATTATAAGAAAAAGTAGATTTCTCTAAAATATAAACGACTAAAAATGATATCAATAACAAGGTGTTTCATTCTGTTGGATGTTGAAGTAGTACTGACTATTCAGATCATTTCTCTCTCAATCTAACTGTCTTCAAATTACACGTAATTGGTCTCACATCTCACAATGATCTCAGACATGTTAAAATATCATGAATTTATATACGTACATTTTATAAGGACGCAAATGATAAATACGTGTGCGTGCTTGAACTCGACGAAGTTTAAATTCGCAATACTTCATATATCGTCTGTTCTTTTCAGCTGCACTGCTGAACTGATGCAATAAGTTAGAGTGTGAAAACATATACTTGTCTCACTTTAACTTATTGCACCAATTCAGCAGTACATCTGAAAACAGACAACTTGACAAATTTCAGCGTGATGTCTCGCCCAACATCGTACACTATAAACAACGAGTCACGAGATCATGCAAAATGATTCGGAAGACGCGATTGGCGATTGGAAACTTGATCAACTAATCATCGACAGGCAGCAGTGTCGTAATATTTGACTGTAAACACCTGAATTTACCTATGAGTTGCTTCTTCATATTTTTCTTCTCCTCAATTTCCTTCGCAGTCAATCGTTCGTTCTTTTCCCGCTCCATGCCGTCGGACATGTCTCTCTCTCTCCCTCGACGTGAATCCTCCGTAAATCCTGGGGCGATTTGCTACTCACGACGATCAGTTCCGACGACGGAACGTAAATACGAGTCTCCCTGAGCGATCAAGCATGTCTGGTCGTCTCTCCCTCCCGTTTTCGCCCTTCTCCGCACAGCTCGACCCGATCGCCACCGATACGCCGAACTGCGCCGAACGTACGATGTCAGGTGCTCCTTTCGGGCATCGGTCGTAATATTATCGCACCGCCGCGGAATCGACGACGCGTCCCCGCTATCGACAAGCCCCGTTGAGTCGCGTCGACATCAACGAGAACTCGCGCCGAGATTCGCCCGTTTTACGTAATCGTTCTGCGATCACGTATCTCGAATTCCGTAAATATGCAACGCAACAGAAGCGGCAAACGGACATCTCGTTCGTTCGTCGCATTCGAGTGTCAAATGTGTGCGTGCGTGTGTATGCATGCGTCGAGACTGCCGGCCGAAAAACTTGCCGTACACTCGCGCCCTCTCGCAGGATATCTCAAAACGAGAAATACTAACCTCCCCGCTCGAGGCTCGATCGGTAAAAACTCAGGCTTACTTTCGCCAAATTCCGATCACAGTAATTGATGATTAATCGCGACAACAGTAATTCTTAGTTATGTAATTTGTCGTTTAATGAGAAAAAGAAATATTTATATTTCCATATATTAGCTAAATAGAGCATACGATGCTTGATTGTTAGCAATTTTAGATAGATTATGAAGAAAGAAAGAAAATAGAAAAATTTGCTCACTCGTTTCAAGGACAAGCTGTCTTTCATCCTCCGCGTTGGTAACTCTGTTGACTGAGTTAATTAGCTCAATTAGAATTTGATGAGTTTTTTTGTAGTTTTAAGGGGATGCTGGAGTCGATGACGAACTCGAACAGTGTCGATAATGTAGAGACGATCGTCACTAACATAATGACGCTATCCTTTTTGTATTTCTTGTATATACTTATATGAATGTGTTGCTTTGTTTTACTACATTCAACGGAAAACTTAACTAAACTTTTTCGATATTTTTAAGCTTCCAAATGCATATACAAAGGTTCTTCAAAATTTTTCTGTTTGGAGTATCCATTCTTTCAATATATACAATAAGCTGCGGAACTTTTGGATTAGGCAAATATTACGCTAACTGATAGCTTGAGATTTTACATTAAAATTTTTTATTCGTTTTCGTCACATATCGAGCAATACTCCTATTTATTTTTGCACGTACTTTCATTGCGTAAAAGTATTTGTAATTCTGTGTAATCAACACGACATAAACTTTGCAGAAAAATATCAGTGTTCTGTCGGTAAAGTTTTCAGCTTCAGCATTCCCTTAAGAGCTTTTGATGAGAGTTATTCTCGGTAGACTCTGCGGGTAATCAGTGTTACATGAGTGCGACGACAGCTTGTTGGTTTCCCGTGTCGTCTTGGATGGCGCTTTAGTGCGGGAATGTACTCGACAGCTGACAGCTCGCCGTAATCGCCCGTGACGTCGCATTTGGCGACGACGCGACGAGACGTGTGTTGGTTGGTTTGTGTTCGTCATCGTGGGTATTATACCGCGATCGTTATTCCAGCGCGGCTGCGGCGACGGCACAACAGGAAATATGATAATTACCCCTATGGTTGATTAATTTAACCGCACGCTGTTTGATAATAACATGCTGCTAATATATGATAAGCCGCACACGTCTGCAGACCATTCCGAAGTAAGACCGAGCCGAACCAATAATCGTCGACGGATCGCGACGGGTTTCGTGCGGCGTGTCGACACATGTATCATCGTAGAATAACCTAGTGGCAGTTCCTCTCGACCTCGACAACGATTGTTCAATTTGCTTAACATTGGCGTGCCACAACAAGCAGGTACGAAATTCCGCAGATCTCATTATCCGAAAGCCGATCGTGTCGCGTCGCTCGCGACGTCTCGCATATGTCGCGTTCTTTCGCAGTAACTCTGACAATCTCGGAGACAACGTTGTCAGTTGGACAAAATTGGTGAATTTTAGATCTGCGTCTTGTTAAATTTGGATTTACATCGCCTCTCGTGAAACGCTCGTGCTCTCTGTTGTGTTGTCGCAAATTGAAGCCACATCATCTTCCATTGCTACTTTTATCCATTGAATTGTATCTGTCAATATTTATTTTTACGATTCTTTACGACCGAAATTTGTGCGAATAAAACAGTAGGTTTATTTTTTTCCTTTATAGCTCTTGATTAGTGCAACAAGTTAGAGTGAAAGAAAGTATATGTGTTTCACTTTAACTTATGGCATTGGTGCAGAAGTATAGTGTACATATATTTATTTACTTCAGCTTACATTACCAGGAAGAGATTTGGTTTATAATTTTTTTTACTTTACTCACTTATCTGCACACTTACTCCCTATAGTTACTCTTACATTACATCTTATTCTAATTATTATCTTAACCTACACCTTAGTTTTTTTTAATCCTTACACATTTAACTTTTAACCTTTGCCTTTTACTTTAACACTTAAGGAGCGTCTACATTGGAAGTAAGCAATAAGAAGTAGGAAGTAAGAATAAGAAATTGACTAATCATAGTTGATTATTCTTCTCACATTTGACTGTGGTTGGTCAATTTCTTACTCTTACTTCCTGCTTCTTACTACTTACTTCCAATGTAGACATCCCTTTAATCTTCTATCCTTATGTCTATATATCTGCTTTTAATTTTACTTTATTACATATTTTCTCTATAACCTACTTACATTGTACTTCTTACCTTGCATATCTTATTTGATATCCGTCATCCTTCTCTTTTTAAATCTATTAGCTATTCTTATATATTCTTATTTATTCCTACTTCTTCTTTTCTATCTTTACTCTTTCCTTTCCTTTTCCTATTTTTACAACTTTATAGTTCTCTTTGTCCCAAAAATCTTTCTCCTTTTTTCTTTCCATAACTTTGTTAAAATTCTTTCTTTTTCTTTATCCAACTTATCGTCCCATATCCTTTTTAATCTTTTCTCTTCATTTTGTATTGTCGCAGAGTTGAAGCCACACCTTCATACCACACCATTACTACTTTTATTCATTGAATTGTGTATTTATCAATACTTATTTTTACAACTTTGGAAACTTGTGCAAACAAAACAGTAAGTTTGTTCTTTTCCTTTTCTGATTGATGCAATAAATTAGAGTGAAAGAAAGTATGTGTTTTACTCTAACTTATGGCACTAGTGCAGAAGTATAGTGCAGAAATAGAGGAAAAGGACAGACTTAGTGTTATCATCGATAATGTTTTTGACTCTCTAGTTTTTTCTGTAAGAATATAAATCATTTGTATTTTTTATTTGTATTCTTTCACAGCCATCATGATTGGAATATACCACCTGGGACTGTATTTGTTATTATTCGGGAGCTCCATCGGCAATTACACCACGTGGGATTTCCAACTGCTATGCACGGACATGTATCCACGAGTATTCACGAGTTATGTGCCTCGTGGTAATTTGACTGGAGGGACTTTCACACCACAGCTTCGTATATCCAATATGCAGGAATGCGTTATGACATGCTGTAAAAAATCTTTGTGCAATGTGGCATTTATGCACAACAGCACGTGTTACCATATAGAATGTGAGAATTCCATGATGTGCATACCACTGTTCAGACCTGAATTTGTAAATGATAATCCACCTAGTATGGTATTGGTCAAACCTGTGGAGGGCAACAAAATGTGGAGTGACTTGCTGGAAGTCAATGATGATATGGTTGGGTAAGTTCTGAGATTGAATGAACAAGCATGTTAAGCTAACAACCAGCTTCTTCTTTTACTGAAAGGCTTAAAAAGTAACAATAAAATTTTTTAATGCATTATTGGTTACATGACGGATACCTAGAACATTGAGTACAGATGGCACTGAACAGGATCAAGTGTTATTCTATGAAGGAAATAAAAACACTTGTACAGATCAATCGAGCTGTCTGGATACCGAAATTTGTGTGAAACATGACAACACTGATGTTGGAACCTGTCAATGTCCTTTGGGTTTCAGAAGAAATATTGCAGGTAAGTTTATACATTTTAATTTGTTGGGTTATTTATATAATAGATACTATTAAATTATATATATTTCATAATTTTTTTTTTCTGGAAAGAGGGAGAGTGAGAATATTTATAAAATATATATATATATATATATATATATATATATATATATATATATATATATATATATAAATCACAAAAAAAATTATGTTTAAAAAAATCATGTGTGTATATATATATATATATAAATTATAATTTATAAAGTTTTATGTAAAAAAATTGTCTTCAAAGCCACAATTGTTATATTATTAGTAAAAATAATTATTTTGTAATGAATTATATCTTTATGATTATTTTGTAATGAATTATATCTTTAATTGTTTTTGCTTTTGTCGGTACAGGTATTTGTACAATCATAGACGAGATAGAGAACGCAGAGCTGGGTGTAACACCACAGGCAAAAGTTCAAACCTTAAAGGATGCTAATACATCGATGAAACCGACTGTGAAGCAACTACTAGTCTCGGCAGTTTCCAAGGAAGTGAGACTGCCAGAAAATGAAGTCACGCTGTCCGCGTATACCGTGCCCGCTGAACGAGGCAATCAACATTATAATTACGCTTGGAGTCTCCTCAGTCAGCCAGAGGGGCACACTGGAACGATGACTGATCAGAATCGCGTTACCGTAAAGTTGAGTAACCTGTCGGAAGGCTTATATACATTTAAGGTGGCTGTGAACAATCCGAACGCTTACGGAGAAGCCTACGCCAATGTTAGCGTTTTACCTCGTACGTATCTTTAAAGTTGAAGTACTAATTCTTACTATCGATGATATTAACATAGATAATGTCATTATCGATAATACTATCGTTAATAATAATGTGCGCAGTACATGATGTCGAAATTATCGTTGTGATATTTCTGTTTTAGCGAAACGCATCAACCAAGCGCCAATCGCTATAATTTCTCCTGCCTCGCAGATTGTTAAACTACCGAATACAGGCGCAGTATTAGACGGCTCGAATAGTAAGGACGACGATCGCGTTATCTCTTATCATTGGGAACTACAGCAAGGTCCGATTGGATATCAACCCAACCTTGTAGATACACCCACACTCCAGTTAAATAATCTTATTGCCGGCAATTACACATTCAAGTTAGTATATTTATTGTTTGTATATATTCGTCGATGAATTATATCTATGTTTTTTTCCAAGAGGAAAAATCGATGTTTTGAGATTTTAGTTGTGGAAAATTTGGAAAAAATGAAATAGATATTGACTTTTTTTTTAAATAATGTAAATATATTGCTATTGACGTGATGTTTGTATAAAATAGAGTCGTAATAGTCAATTAGGATTCCTCTAAAATTTAGAAACTATTATCTCTTTATATCTTTTCTGTAGACGATTCTCATAAATCGTGATATTTTTCTTCAGATTAACGGTGGAAGATTCTGATCACATTAGCAATTCGACAAGTGCCAATATAACGGTCCTGAAAGTGATTGACTATCCTCCCAGCGCGAATGCAGGACAGGACATCATCATTTACCTGCCTCAGAATACGCTGACGCTCAATGGTAACTTGAGCACTGACGATCGAGGCATAGCGAGTTGGGAATGGACGAAGAGCCCATCCGATCAAAATAAAGCTGTGGATATGCAAAACACAAGAACACCTTACTTACAATTGTCGAATCTGGAAGAGGGAATGTACACGTTTGTGCTTAAAGTAACAGATAACTCCGAACAATCTTCGACAGCGGAAGTGCACGTTTTTGTGAAACCTCCGACAAATAAACCACCGAAAGGTATTGGGACTATTTTCTTAATTATTCAATATCTTAAATTGATTAAATTTTGAGACAAAAAACATTGACTTACCTTCCACTCTTACTGAACAACACTTATTTAGGAAGTTTAAAATATATATTAATTTTTAATTAGTTTTCTGACTAATTTTGCTGTAGCTGACGCAGGTGACGATATAAGCATTGCATTGCCGTTGACACGCGCTGTTCTGAATGGTACAAGAAGTAAGGACGATATAAAGATCGTTTTGTACCATTGGGAGCAAGTAAGGTACAATTTTCTTAATTTGTTACATCTTGCGTCGCGTTACTGTGTACTTTAAACTGTCATGCTGCATCTTCCTGTTACAGCGGGCCTAATAATGCTGAATTCGCCGCCGTGAATGAATCTGTTACGAATATTACGAAATTGACGAAGGGCGATTACGTATTCAAACTGACTGTTGTTGATGATAACGGAAATATAGATTCGGATATAGTCAATGTGAAGATAACCCAAAGTATGTATCGTACTATTTGCAGTTTTTTCATCTTTATATCTACTTGCAGTTTGTATATTTACGAGAAATTTTACTTTTCAGATAAAAACGCGCCTCCGAAAGCAGACGCTGGTGGCGATCAAGTTATGACAGCACCGATCAGTGTATTGATCATCAATGGCTCGCAGTCAAGTGACGATTTGAGAATAGGACAGTGGTTGTGGACCAGAGATCAGCCTAGTCTTGCGATTGGTACTATAGTTCAGGACACGGATAAGTCACCAGTCTTGATGGTGAGGGTTAAAACGTGAATTAGTTCAGTATTAGTAATGAATTAGTTGTATCACACTTCAAGTATTTCATGATGGATATACGTTTTTCTGCATCGCACTATTTTGGTTCTTTTTTATTTTACAGTTAACCGATGTAATTGCCGGTAGATACGTTTTTCGGCTGAAAGTAACGGATGACCAGGGTCTGAGCAGTGAAGACACCGTGTCGGTAATCGTGAAACCTGGTCGGTGTCGATGCTAAACAAAATATATTATTATTTTGTAATATTGGCTGCTTTTATAAATTAAAACTTTTCGCCTGTTATAGATCCACAATTATTGCATCTGGTAGAATTAACGCTGAACATCGGAGCCAGCATGCTGACCGTGTCGCAGAAGAACTCGTTGGTGTTGAAACTACAGATGTTATTGCGAGATGAAGCTTCGATCGTCGTGCGCAATTTGAGGGCAGAACCGCATACCGGAAAGGCTGTCTTGGTGTTTTACGTGGAAAAGAAAGGAGGAAAGATAGCGCTGCCGGGTCCGGAAGTGGTTAAAAGACTGAAGGAGAAATTGCTTCAAGATTCTGGTCTTTTACAGCTGTCGGTTGCTAATATCGATACTGCTGTGTGCCAGAATAATTGTTCAGGTATATATTAGATATATATTAGGTATATATTAGTTCAGGTATATAGAACATAGAGCACAGAAGTATCATAATCACAAATATCATAAAATATTCATGTGTGTGCAAAAACAATCTGTATCTATCTGTTCTGAAAAATTGAAAATTTATAAAGCGTGGGATTGGAGTTATAATAAATTTTTATTCAAAAGTTTTTGAATTATCGTATCTCTATGTTATTATGTTTAGGTCACGGCGTGTGTGATCAGGAAACGAGACAATGCATGTGCGAAGCATTCTGGATGCAGAACTTAATACAGAAGTATTTCGGCAACGGAGACTCCAATTGCGGTATGTTAAATCATTCTTTTTATCCTGACGACATAGGAGGTGTCCCACATCGTCTTTCTAATTATGAATTGTTAAAAGGCAATATCTAATATTTCATTAAATTGTCTTTCAGATTGGAGTATTCTGTATGTGATAATAGCATTGCTATTATTAGTCGTATGTTGGGTTGGACTTATTTGGGGACTCGTTTGCTTGTGTCAGAGGATATGCGCCGGGAAAAGGCGTTCGCTTCGACCTAAGAAGAAACCAGCGCGTTATTCTCTCTTGCAACCGGAACCAGAAGACGATAGCAGTGCATGTAAGTGACTTGTTTCATCGTTTAATTTTTCAGAGTGAGACGACAATAACAATCAATATTGTATTACTTGAAAATATTTGAAGATTTTAGAAGATATTTGAATATATCCAATTGAATATATACAATTTAATATGTGTGTGTGTGTAATTTTTTTTTGCAGTTTCAACTCACAAGATGGTGTTGTCAGAGTCCGACACCGATTCCGACGATGTCTTGTTTGAGCATCGTAAGAGTAAGAACGGTAATCACATAAGAAACGGTAAATCTCGAAATGGATTTATCAAGGTTGGCCCTCGAGTGAAAACATGAGGTAGTGAATTTATGATTTATGTTGCGATACGTCTTGAATTCTTCGCTAGATACTACTAGATTTATGGGAAGTGTTGAATGTTCGAAGTTCAAAGTTTGACAAATTTAATTATTTGAGAAGTCTCTTCTCTCGAGTATATCGGCAACCCGTATTATATTATATAGAAAGTGAATACAAGATAGAGTCGAGATATCACTCATTTCGATTTTGCGTATTTCAGAGATTCCGTGGCGACGGCGCAACGATAAATAGCGCACAATTGTGTGTAAGTTCGGCCAAACTTAAAGTACTACTAGTCATGAAGAGTGAAAGTCGAATTATGTACCTTACGAGAATGATATGATTCCTCAGAGATTGGTATTGGTTAATAATGTTCTATGAGAGAGGTAGACAAACTCTGAGCATTGTTCATAGATATATATGCGAAAATAACACACTACGTCACACACGTTACTTAATTTATTTTAAGTATTAGTTTTATTTCTGTGTATTTTTATCACGTGATTCTGGCTGTGCCAGTGATCGGTGATGCGATTGCAGATGTCGCATCGAACTATTTAAGAGCTTGTCTAAGTATTATTACGGCCTTAGAAAGTATTTAAATTAATATGTATAGTAAGCACTCTATCACGTCTATGTCGTTTATATGTACTGCTTACTCTTTAATATGTACATTGTCGATCTTATTTTTACACTATATGGATACTGAATAAAATTTGCTATCCATACGTATCTCTTACACGCCTGTTTAATCAAATATGGAACATAATTGCGAATTAATATCGTTATAAAGTCTTCGACTTCACACGATTTACATATAATTCCTGTCTAATGAGTAATTTTTCAAGTTTTAAAAATCCTATCCAGAAAAAGTTCCTATCCAGAAACTAGTTGAAGAAAAGTTCTTTTTTTTCATTGATTCATAGATATAGAGTATTTTGTTCTTGCCATGATTCTGCGCCAGTAAACATCGCATTCACACGTAAGAAGTAACAGCAAATCTTTGTATAATGCGCTGAATGAGAAATGCAAGTATCAAAGTGACGACTCCGCGTGAGCGGTGAACGTTTCATGATTCAAGGCAAGTTCCACGCGCGTTTGGCTCGTAGCCTGTGTTTCGGTGTTATTTTTAACCCGCTGTGCTGTAATGAACGAGTTTCGAGTAGTTGGAAGCCTTCAAGCAACCCGCTGATCCATATGCGCGTCTTCCAATAACTATTCCTTCGTTTTCGGTAAGTCGTTGGTGTGATTTTGATATATGTATCGTTTTATCGTACTCTCATTGACATTCACTTTGCAGCGTGTCACAATCGATGGATTTTGCGAACTGTTCGGCAAAACGAGCCTCGAAGAGTTGCTGCGGTCGTGAGACTGGAATGGATAGCGAGCTCGGAAGTTGTGATCATATCTACGCGAGTTTGGTCGAGTGCAACAGCAAAGGTATAAATAAAGAGGAGTTTCCCGTTAACGTCGAACCAGGAACGATAGGATCTACAAACAAACGGTGAGTGATGTTCAATATGCAGAAAAAAGAAAATCACTCGAATTAAAATTGCAATTTATTATTAATTGCATTATATATGCGAGCAAGAAGTTATCAAGTATCTGTGTACGTTTCGTTTTTGATACTGTTATGTGCGTTAAAAGAGAAGAGTTTCGTTAAATCTGCTGACACGCATTAATTCGTAAAGTACATTAAAAATAGAAAAACCAGGAGAGCATTACTTTCTTGCAATGTGTAACATAAGCGATTCTAATCACTTCCCAGCAATGAAGATCCCAGAAAGAAAGCGGCTTCTTGGTCTACGAACTCCAAGATCTTGACGCATCAGCCTTCGCCCGTTTTGACTCACAAAATGAGCGGCGAAGTCGACGAAGCGTCGCCAAGAGAGGTAATGCGCTCCCCGTACAGATTATCGTACGATGCGAATTTCCAGTGTCCCCGCTGTGGTCGGAGGATGGAGGAGCCTAGACTTCTTCCTTGCTTACATCCTATATGTTTGTCGTGCGTCTACGAATTGATAAGCAGGCGTAAGTAGCTGCGGGTTGTCGTATACTTTTCATGTTGGAAACGAAAAATTTTATCCAATGATCAATGACAATCAGTTATTGCAATTGTAGCGAAACTCGATTTCACTAGAAAATGTGATGACAGATTTGATCAGTCGAGAAAGACGTATTAACGTGAACGGAACTCTGTGTGTTTGCAGCTTCCTACGTTCCTCTGGGCAGCGATACACGAGACTACAGTCGAACGTATGCAACGACGATCAGCTTTCGCGAAACGTGTCCGTTATGCGACTCGTACTTGCCGGGCGTGAACTCTTCGATACCGCCGCCGCATTATCCTTTGCAACATCGTTTAGTCATGGACACTGTGCGACGCAAATTGGTCAACAGGGTACTCTGTGATACCTGCGCTGCTGAGGTTCCGGTAAAACAATCGAGTATATCGATACTTGGTCGTCGTCGTTGTTTGCAATCTTTTTATCTTGCCGTGTCTGAAGAAACATGATCTTATTAAAAAAATATATATATTTTTGAAATAGAATATAAAAAAGCGTGAATTGCAGAATTGTAGAAATATTCTATGAACATTAACTTTCTTTTTTAAGGCGCTTATACAGTGTTCTACGTGTTTACGTAATTTTTGCTCGGAGTGCGGCAGACAACATGAACAACAGAATATTACAGAAGCGAGAACAACGAATCATTTAATGAGGCCACTGTGGGAGGCTACCAAAGTACGACGGACGATTCTGTGCCAGACGCACCCAATACACGCCTTGAGATTTTATTGCATCGCGTGTCAGCAGGTTTAACGAGACTCTTCTCTTTTAACGCACATAACAGTATCGAAAACATGACGTACAGAGATATACTTGATAACTTTTTAACTCGAATAACATGTGGAGTAAGCATTAAGTGTACGATTTCCAGGTGACGTGTAAGGAATGCATGTGGAGTATACAACATCGAGGACACGCTAGCGAAGACGCTGTCGGAGTGGGAAAACGAGCCAGCGTCTATTTGACAACGATGTTGCAAAGGGCGAGAATGGTCTTAAATAATCTGTTGACTCAGTACGATTACGATGTATTTTCTAATAACGCCTTCGAGGAATCGCAGAACCTAGCAAAGTCCTACAGGTACATACGTTTTAGTTTTATATGTTGTAAACTGGAAATTATAATTTGGACGAACTTTTGGAATATTGTATGACTATGGAGCCATACAATATTCCAAAAGTTTATACATTTTTACTTTAGTCGCGTACAGCTAAAGTATAACATTTTAGTACATTTTAATACATGGGACCACGAAAATTTTATCTTAATATCTTCGTACTAAGGTACATAATCGTCATGTGATCAATACGAAAGTAACGAGCAAGTGAACGTAAATAAACAAATGTTACGATATAATTGTCATTTGAGGTACAAAACATTATACATTCCAAAGATTCAAAATGTAAGTTAGAACGTATTTTGTCCAGGTTTAGTTAAGTATCTTGCGAATATTTATAATTAATATTAATGTAACTTAAATATAAAAGTGTAGCCCATAACACCAGCATCCTTCTTCCTCAAGACATTCTTCCTTAAACGTTCAATACAAGTCCATCATCGTTGCTGTATCATGCAGCTATTTCTTCGACTTTAGAATGATTAATTTTAATTATCAACATCAAATATCACAGCATATACAAATGTAATCTCATAGCACTTGGACTTTGATAAGCTTGTTTAACACTAGACTTTTTCTCTATAAGCCTCAACAATTACTATTTGTCTCAGTTCGAGTTTTATTATTTATAGATAAGAGAATGCATTTTCTAGTAAGAAAATGCAAGTTTGAAACATTCCATGTTCAAAAGTAATACTTTCGTCTTTTTTTGTATGATTGATATCCGCAAAGAAAAAACTGGAATATCCGAATAAAAAATATTTGGTCCAAAAGACATTTTATTATCTTATTAAAACTTACAGCGTAAGTTGATGTATGGATTTTCGCGTGATTAAGCAACGTCCGTTGCGCAATATGGATCCACAGCAAGACCAATGGTTAACACCCGGATGTCCAACGTGTCCATGGCCGCAACCTCTGTATCCACCTTTACAGAAAACAGAATAGTTTTATTTGTCTTCTTAAAGCTATGAACAAGAGATACTTCAAATATTGCTTTTATAAATCTTAATGCATCTATCTCTTGTTGAACTCTTTCTTTTGCTCATAGTCTACATAGTCTACAGCTACTGTTTTAAGATTTCACCATTATATTAGCAAAGTTGAAGCAATATTTACCAGGCATGGTGCCTCTGCAACCACAGGTTATTTCTTTTTTGCCGCCGCTGGAGCAAAATGTGCAGCAGTGGTAAATACCACTGTGTGTGAGTCTTGCAGCTGATAATTTCGCGTTTCTACACCAACGTTCTGCGGCAAAATATAACTTTGCTACTGTTTTTCATAAGAGAAATGCAAAATATAGCGTAAAGTACGTACCATCTTCTCTGTCTGCACTTACGTTCGTTACACCTAACTTGTTTAATCTCCTTACTATTATGCCGGCGAGTGTTAGTATCTCTATCTCGGAATCGTCGGCAAGCAAATCGTTCACTAGCGAAATAGCATCTAGAAGATGTCTTGCTCTTCGTAATCGATCGAATTCTTGTATTCTCTCTTGGGCTCGTTTCACGTGGTACAACAGAACATTGTAGTCCCACAAGTTCGAAAAGTCTTCCGTGCTTCTCTCAGCGTATCTGAATCAAAGAAATTTTTACTTACATACTCCTGGAATAAAATAATTTCTATCAAAATGGTGTAATACAAATATGTTAGATATCGCAGATGACTGGTAAAAATTAATATAATAATGGTATAATGCGGACAATCGTGCCGTTCCCTTTTTATATAATGCACTTTAATGCACAAGTTCACTCATGGGACATTGTACAATAAAAAATATTACATGATATAATATATATTACATTAAACATTGTCATGTGATATTTATCTTGGTTTTAACATATTGATAACTATACTTTCTGTCATCATACGGATGTAAGATGAACATACTTCATTGTCATTTGAGGTACTAACAGCGTATCGGTGGAATCGGCAAGATACAGTTTAAGCGCTTATATTTATTAACAAATATATCTTATTTAAAAAGAATATTACATAATTAAATTATAAAACTAAACCTAAATAAAAGAACTTAGCTATATATGCCACGAAATATAAAAACTGGACAGAAATTTCTAAGTTTGAGTAGATTACATAGGCCTGAATATGTTATATATGTAAATCTATATCCTTTGCATTATTTCCTGAGATAGAAAAATACCATTTGCGACGTGCACAATATCTACGACTATATCTACAACAATTCTTCCGTGTTTATAGGCAATAAAGAGTGTTTTAGCAATTTTGTTATTAAAATATGCTGATATTAAATACTGCAACTAAGAGCCACTCCCAAGAAATCCTCGAATGCGATGGTAATTGTTCCAGTTTGATTTGTGTCTCTTGTTCTAAATGCCTCTGTAACATTATACATGTATATTATATATTTTAAAAAATGTAATCAAATTATCCTCCAAAATATTATTATATATTTTAAAAAATATAATCAAATCATCCTCCAAAATAATTATCTAAGTGTTATTATCTTAATGTATTTATATACTCAATTGGAAAATTAAAGGTCTTTAAAAGTCACGGGTATTATAGTGTTGGAATGAAACAAGAGTACTTAGTTCTTAAAGACCTTAATTTTCTAATTCTCATCAAAACTAATAATATTTCTGTTTATATAATTACTTTATTTATCAATGTTCTTTTTTTATATATTATACACAGATAAGCATCTACTTACCTGTAAATCTTTGTATTTGAACACACAATACTATAAATTGATCAATGGTGATGGACTGGTGACCACGGAGATCACTCTTTTTTATAAGAAACTGGATGAATTCTGGACTGAGTTTGTAACCCATTTGTGTTAAAGCTGCATTTAATTCGTTCTCCTGTATACTGCCAGAGTTGTCATGGTCAAAGCCACGAAAAACACCCAGCCAGGAGTTCACATAATTAAAGAGAGCTTGAAATTCTGATACATCTATCGTGCCGTTCTTTTCCTTATCGAACATACCTGGTGATCAGATAAAATGATCTTTGCCAAAAAAGGCCCAATTATTATCTTAGGCTAATATATTGTTAATACAACGACTAAGCATATATATGTGAAGTAACACATAAGCCTACCGATCATCAATTTGCATGCTGTGTCAGAGAAAGTACCACCTTGACCATTTGCTAATACCGATTGCAATTCTGTGGCTGTTATTCGCCCGCTCCTGTCTTTGTCCACTGTGGAGAACCATCGCTCAATGTCGGGATTTATCTGAGATCCAGAAGCAGTGGAGCCATACATCGTGTCCTTTAAGAAACAGGTAGAACATATACAAATATGCAAACTTCAATGATACAAATGCTTATTTTTCAATCAAATAACAATCGTTAATATGTTAAAACGTCACTGTTTGTAAGTAAATCAATAATAATAGCAAAGATTATGCGAAAATAACAAAACATGCGTCAATTGTCATATGTTGATAAGCGTATACAACGTAATTATTGTGATCATTATTTAGAATTACCGGATATGCCATGATTGAAACTTCCTCTAATTAAACGAGAGTATAGAAATCACGCTATGAAGTGTTTTCTCAAATTGACATCACAAGATTTTACGTTAAAGATGACGTTACACAACATACGCAATTACACACATTAATAGCGTACTTTATTGGAGAATATACTGCAGCAACTGGGAAATCTTGATATTTGTGACGCGAATATTATGATGTTTCTATATTTGCAATTAACTTTCGCGTTGATATAAATTTTCTTCTATCACTTTCTCGATGGCATCTCAATTAAAAAAATATATAACTTTCATACTGATTTTCATAAAGGTCGTTCTACATTAGTTGCAAGTCGATTGCAACTCTTGTTGCGACAGCCAATCAGAACCGTCAATAGCACCATTGATGCTTCTGATTGGCTGTCGTAATAAGAATTGCGTCTGCTTGCGATCGGCTTGCAACTAATATAGAACGACCTAAAGGTCGTAAAAAATCGCAAGGTCGTAAAAAAATTTACCAATCATAGTCGATTGTTCTTCTTACGACCAAAGAAGAATTGACTGTGATTGGTCAATTTTCTTGCGATCTTGAGACTTGCAACTAATCGGTTGCTAGAATCGGTCTTAAGGCCAGTTTCAATGTCTATCGGTAAGTCATTTCTCACTGGGTATAGGCCGCCGCCATATTTCATAATGACTTCCGACTTTCATTCCTCTCCCCTTGTGACTCACCGCGAAATACGTTTCATCCAGATCATAGACATAATGGCCCATATTCTGAATCCTCTTTTATCGATAAAAGTGCCTTAAATATAGCTTCTCAGCCAATCAGGTGGCTCCTAAGCCTCTTTTAGAGGCACTTTTATAGATAAAAGAGGATTCAGAATATGGGCCCAAGTCCATGATCTTAATCCATAGTTTGATAGGGTTTTAAGAAATTGACTAATCACAGTCAAATGCGAATAATCAACTGGAATTGGTTGATTTTTTAAAGCTTAGGTTAAAGTAGCCTATTGTAGACCGGGATTGTAAAAAAATAAGATTAGTGGAGAAACCGAGTATAAAAGATACAGCTAAAATGAACAGACTTATCGAACAGTTCACGCCTATGGTATGTATAGTATATGTCAATGATTCAACTCATGGATTCGATAGACGTCAGAATCGGAATTGTCGACAATAATTTCAAGGCAAACAGTGTTCAAACGTCTCTCGCGCGATGATTGGTGTGCTGTCGAGGAGTTAACGAACAATTAAATCGCCGACGAATGATCCAGTAATTGGTCATCAGGTACGATCTCCGAGTGTCTGAGTGCGAATCGCTAGACACGCAATTAGGATCTGACGTTGACAGTTCGAAAGAATCATGGGCGTGATTTACATGATAATATTTCAAATATCTATTGTACTTTAATATTGGGATTACGATATAATGGATATATAAACGCGAGACAATTTCTCCAACTCGATTTGAATGTATCGGAAGTATTACAAGGACACGATATTTTAATCGCAGCTTTACGTCCGCATGGTATAATTTAATGCAAAGCTTCGATAACTAGTCTCATTCTTTGTTAATTGCTCATTCTTTGCTAATTGAATCTCGCATGATTTTGATTGTACCTTTTGTTTAATTTAAAATCGCTCGATTTTTCTATTTTAATATTTATAACTGGATATTATTGTCAACAAGATATACATATATTAATCAATTTACACATATATATTTTGAAATAACTGTAATTTAGCAATGGCTGCGAGCAATAACAGTTTTATTAGTAAACCAGCACGAGGATGGTTGCATCCAGATCATCTAGTGAGTAAAGAAGGGATTACTTATACAGTGAAGGTATGTGTAACATCAGCTAAATCTGTTAATAATTTTGTTATTAAATAATTTTTATAACAAAGCAACTGAGAGAAAAATCATCTAATTTTATGTTCTAATTCTGTTTAATAATTGCAGTATATTGGATGTCTTGAAGTATATACCTCTATGAAGAGCTTGGATTTTGAAACACGTTCATGTGTAGCCAAGTAAGTTGATCAGCTATGTATTTTAACTTTATTACAAGAGTTGGCTCTGTTGTAAATACTTCCTAGTTTATATATGCTTTGAGAAACATTTTTATTTTTATGTCAGGGAATGTATAAATAGAGTTTGTGAAGCTGCTGGATTGAAGTCTGCTGATAAGAAGAGATGGGTATTATATATTATTGAAAATTGTTATATTTGCAAATAATTGCTATATTTGCTAATAATTGCTTCTATCCACAAGTCTTATTACATATATTCTCATTAGGTTGACATGAAAGTGTTGAGAGCCATAGCGGATAAGCCCTGCATGGAGCATACTGCCACCAGTGTAAACCTGACTATCAGTAGCTGCAGTTTATCTTTAAGTAATATCGAAACTGGACATATCATTGCTAGACATGACATGCCACGTATATCTTTTGCTTCTGGCGGTGATACGGTAAAGAACATGCACCAAATTGCATGTTTTATATATAAAAAGATAATTGTAAAAAAACAATGGATACCATTACATTGAACACTTCATAGTTATGCAATACAATACACACATATTTAGCATATGAAACATCACATTTCCTATTTTGAAGAAAGAGGAAAAAAGACACTAAATTTTACCATGTTTAATAGGAGATCCTGGATTTCGTTGCTTATGTTGCTAAAAATATGCTAGACTGGCGTGCTTGTTACGTACTTGAATGCAAAGGTGGCTTGGCGCAAGATGTTATATCTACTATTGGACAGGCGTTTGAGCTCAGATTCAAGGAATTCCTTACGAAACCGGGTTCGCTGCAGTGAGTGTTTGCGTAATTCATTGCATCTGCGTCTCTATACGGACTCGGTATCGTCAACCGTTCGTAATTTCACATATTTACTCGCAGCCCGGCGCTCAATGGTGTAAGGGAAGCAGACAGAGATTATTACAACGATCTTCCCGGGAAAGTGCCGCCAGATATCGGCCCACCACCAGTACCTCCTCTGCCGAATACAGCGTCCACCTTACCTAATTTGAGGCATCATCACAATCATGCATCCCGTAGTCACGCGCAAAATACCGCAGTCGATTCATTTTCCTCCGCCGTCGATAGGCATCAAGAGTGGGCAGGTAATGATTCGTGTGAAATCACCTCGCGATGCGGAATGCGCTGGAAATGATGCTTTCGTTCTTCCAGAAACTGGAAATCTGATTGATCTGAACTCAGATGGTACTATATCTGCATCATCAAACTTAAATTCTGTGCCTGAACACAATTATGTGAACGACACTGTCGTAGCTACCAACAGGGATAATCATCGTGAGCCAGCGTCGCTTTTTGATGTGTTCGACATGGGTAAATATACAATGTGTTATTTAAATTTCCAATAATATATTGATCTTCTAACTCATCAGCAAGATCTACCTCTAACGATCTTGATTTATGCTCGTTTATTGTGTGACTTATGTTGCATTTTACTTACGAATCTTAGAACCATTTAGTTCAGCAATATCAGACATGAACAAATTGAGTCCCCGATCGCAAAAGCAACAATTGAAGCAAGAAATTTGGTTTCACGGGAGTGTCAGCCGATCTGAAGCAGAATCTATGCTTACTAGAGTAAATATGTTCATTAAAGTCGGATTACGAATTGTCTATTGTCGTTTGACACGTGTTATCCTGATTTTTACAATTTTGTTTTGCTTTACAAGGATGGTGACTTTTTGGTTCGAGAATCTCAAGGTTCTCCTGGTCAATATGTTTTGACCAGCATGAATGACGGAACTCCGAAGCATTTATTACTAATTGATCCCGAAGGTGTCGTAAGTATCTCATAAAGAACATCATGGTTAGCGCGAAAATTAGTGTTCGGAGCTTGCAAAACTTCGTCGGATTTTTTCATGGAACTTCGATTAAAAACAAGGTAAATAGCAGAGATTTTTGCTTGCAGGTACGCACAAAAGATCGTGTATTCGATAGCGTAAGCCATTTAGTGCATCATCACTGTGACAATGTATTGCCTATTATATCGGTTGATAGCGTTCTGGTATTGCGTTATCCTATCCCCAGGCATACGAATTATTGATTTTTGTAATAACATCGAATAATAATTAAGGTTATAGATTTGATAGCGATTTTCCTGATAGTTATTTCTCACATCTTCGCATGCTTTGGAAAGTCCGGCTTCTCTCTTTGAGATACATTTTGAAAATCGGCCTCCTTAATATTACGCACTACACATATAGTATATACATATTTTCTGTTTTAGTTCCTTTCTAGTACGCAACGTAATGAATTTTTTGTGCCTGAATCGTATAAAATGTGCCAACTCAGTCGAAGCGATTGATAAAATTCTTTGAATTTAAAAATGAGTAACAAAATTGAGTACATTCCGTTTTCTTTTTTATATAAAATATTCTACCTTCTATCTCTATACTTTTTGATTTTCAATTTACTCAAGATCGTTACGTATAAGAGAATTTTTAATAATACTTAACTATATTTTAGATACGATATCTTTTTTATATATCACGAATACATTATGGTAATTCAGAGAAATTGTATATCGGTGACAGAGAAGTAATTTTATACAATTTATCGTCTTCATAGAGATCTCTTTATCACATTCTTTAATAGTCGATTTAAAAAAAATATAAACAAAAGGATATTTGTAATATTCTCTTTTTGATACGTTAATTTTTTGCTTTACAGTGAATCTCTCTACTTTTTCCTATCAATAATAGTATGAATAATTGTGAACATTTGACAAAATAAGATAGATATTACGAACAATTGTGGTTTTTCGATAAATTTAATGAGTTCTCTTTTCATCCTGTACCCTTCATGTACATTATGTATTATATAGCGGTGCCAATTAGTGATAATTACACAACTACATGTAACAATAATTTACATATATTTAATAAAATTTTTACATCTGGAGGTTATACTTGATATGAATAATTTGGACGTTATAAAAGTGGTATATTATAATCACATACACATACAAATTTATTTACAATAACGATCAGCTTTCATTTTACTTCTTCTGTCTAATAGAGTCTCATGTAAATTTCCCTCTATCCTTGCCTTCTTCAGCTCAGAACGATCGGATTTATTGATTCTTAATTTTTTGTCTTGAAATTTTTGGAATTTTCGTCTGTAAAATTAAATATCTTTGATATTAAAAAATACTTTGAAATATCAAGAAACAAGAGGAAACCAATTCAATCAATAAAAGTTAGAGTTGTGATCATCAGGAGATAATTTTAATAAGATTTCTAACAACTTAAGAGCATTTTTTTTTAAAGTAATATTAGATAAAATCTTAGTATATCTCAATAGTAACTGCAAGTTGACACAAGTACAAAAAAAAATATTCAAAATCAAACAGTAATGTAGTCAACATATGATTTACTCCATGCAAGTATCAATAAAATCTCAATACTTACACATAATTTACTTCAACATCTGCCAGTGAGCCCTGCTCCTCTTTTGGAATGTCCCAACTAGGACTTTGAGAACGTTGTGTTATACTTCTTATGATAACATATTCTGATGGCCCAGCTGTTATGTTTTGGCAAATCACATCATCGTCACTTGTAACTGATATAAAACATCCTGTACTATGTAATACAGCAAGTTTGTTATCCTGCAGAACAAGGATAATAAGATTTAAGAATGAGGTCAAGTTATATTCTGGAGAAGCATAATGCATAAAAAACAAAAATTATCTAATAAACTTTTAAAATCAAGAAACAGCATGCATTATTTATCAGCAAAGATTGGGTATCTTAAACCCCAAAAAAGAAAGTTTTCCATAAAATGGATATAATTAGCATGTTTCGATACAAATGCATAGATTACTTGAAAAATCGGTTCCCACTGTTCAATAGGTCCAACCGCATCGCTTCGTCCAATAACAACTCCTTTTTTGTCAACGCCAAGATATTTGCCATATCCCGACTTCAGAGCGATTTTGGTCTCGTTTATAGGGAATGCCGTCAGAATTTCTTCTGGCGCTGGACCGTCACCTTCGTCGTGTGGCGCGCCGAGGGTGAACAGCCCGTTGTCGAGTGCTTTCAGATAAGTACGATCCCCAAATTCTATAGCGATCGTTCCCGTGATTTCAAATACATTCTTAACCTTCCACCATCCCCCTGTAAAATACATCGGTTGTGTAAATTGTTCATTTTTATGCAACAATACGATAACAGCAACAAATACCATGATTAACAGTGTCTTTATCCTCTACAGTCACGTTCTGTTCTTTCTCTTGTTTTTTATGCTTTCGCTTTTTCGGTCTGAAAAGATGAGACACGTATCGTGAGATGTACGAACGGATACGTAAAATATATCAACTTACAAGGGAATACGATGAAATAGTACCTTGATTTTTCACCTTTTAGCACTAATTTTCCTGTTCTCACTTTCTCGTACTCTGACATTACGAAGTTTTCCGATTAGGATTTATTGTGATGCCGAGTGTGATGGACAGATGATGATGTTTTGCCTGCGCAAATATAACGATCGGAGGTTAGGTTAGGTTAAGTTTCCAATGACAACTAAGCTGCGTTCGGGGAGCACGCTACTAACGCTACCGCGTTCTTCTATCTTTATCACTCCTTAGATATACAACAAGGATAGAATGACACGGTAGCGTCGAATAGCGCTAATAGCGAGTTCCCTGAACGCACTTCTAGGGTGTGTTCGCGAAGCTCACTAATCGCGCTACCAACGCAAACCAAGGACTGTTCACGAAGTCAATAATGCGATAGCGATAGTGAGCTTTATGAACAGTAGTAGCGCTGCGTTTAGCAGCAGTTGTTTAGCAACCGAAACTAAAGAGAAAGCTTAAGGCCAGTATTCATAATCCGATCTTATATTTAAGATTATCTTAAGTACTGTCTTAAGATGTTATGAACCAATCACAGAGCCATATTCGCATCTTAAGACATTACTTAAGACGGTCTTGAAATAAGAATCAACTATGAATACCGGCCTTAGGCTGCGTTCCGAAATTCACTGCCAGTGCTGAAATTCTATAGAATACGTGACATGAACTATAGATTTTTAGTACTGGCAGCGAATTTCGGAACGCAGTTATAATAACCAAGTCAATTTTCTGGGAACATATTTTATATACATATTAGGGAGTTTTTGCAATTTCGTATTTTAGATACGGTAAACGCTGAAGTCACGTGACTTCATACCGTATTTACGTTGCCTATTTCAAAAGAGTTTTTGCACGGTGAATGCTACGGTAACGTACGATAAAACAGTATCCTACACGATCTGCAATTGTTTTCCATTTTTCACTCTCTTCATATGGATTTTGGGATATAATCTCTCTTAAAAGTATGAAATCATCTTGACTTATGAATCTCAATCGTTCAGATTTCATTTTGGTAGCCATGTATGGCTACCAAAATATATATGCGTATCGATCACTTTAACGCTATTCAGATAACGTGCGAATGTTATTTCTGAAAAATAGCGTTCACAAATAACGTTGACGTTATATAACGTCAACGTTATTCGTGAACGCTATTTTTCAGAAATAACATTCGCACGTTATCTGAATAGCGTTAAAGTGATCGATACGCATGCGCAGTTTGATTTTTGACTCGATGACGTCATTTTAGCGTTTACCGTATCTATATCGTATATTTGCAAAAACTCATTATGGCTGCGTTCGTTTTGGCGCTTATAGCGTGTGTAAGCATCATTTGCCTTGTTAGTATTTGATAGAATAAGGATGAAATGTGATGGTCAGAGCGTTATAAGCGCCAAAATGAACGCAGCCTAAATGGAAAGCACCCAGTATCGAGTAAAATTTCTTCAAAAAGGACATTTTGGAACGCAACCCGAGTATTATTATGTTTTTTTTTGTGATTGGCTAGCTAGCCATAAAAGCAGAAGACGATTGAACGTTTCTAGTGACCCTAACTCTAGTGAATGGTACGGTATCAATGCGACAGGAACATAGAGGCGCTGTGCATACGAGGATCTCGGAAAACTAGTTCATGACCCCTTCTGGTTCTTTTCTGTGGTTCACTTGCGCAATAAGGGGTTTCCGTGCTCGACGCTCGTCGCCGTGCACGGAAGCCTCGTAAAAAAGGGGGAGCAGCGAGCTTTTCTCGGAGAAGCCTTCGCCGTCGCCGTCGTCGTCGTTGTGCTTGCGATGCTGCTGCTGTGCTCTGTCTCGAAAGATAATGCGTTGTTGATGTGGGCCGCGATAAGAAGACACACATCATCCTCATGCACGCTATCGCGGTGAACAGAATGGGCAAGCAAAACGGCTCGTGTTGGTGGTGCGTGAAGGCCGTCAAATGGATACCAGTGATCTTCATTCTGACGATCGTTGCCTGGTCCTATTATGCTTATGTGGTGCAATTGTGCTATTGTGAGTATATGCGAAACAAGTGGACGTTTTGGCGCGACTCATGGATAAAAGCCATCATTCTGGCTAATCGCCAGCTTTCGCATCGTTTCATATATATACAGTGTCGTAAGAGTTTTTTTGTGTTTGCTTAGTACTTAGGAACTCACAGGTTTTTGATGTGTTTTCTTTTAAAACTGATTGAAAGTGGATTATCTTTTATTTTGGAATAATATAGTTTATGATTTTATGATGATGTAGTTGTTTTTTGACACTTTGTATAACCCTTGTAGTATGCAAAGACTATTAGATTAAAAAAACAACTTTATCGTAGAACTTTGCTACAAATATATAAATATATATTTGTGACACAGTTGTGCAATAAAGCTTTTGCTTAAAGAGTTTTTATTATATCGCTATATTATGACTGTTTCAGATACAATAGACAATTATGTTCAAAAAGGTTTGTATCTTTTATATTACTTATGTCATACAATGTTCTATGTTGTTTATTCAACTTAATTGTTTGTAATTGTTATTATTGATATTATCTATGTACTAATACAGTGTTAAGAATTCTATTTTAATATAGGGAAAACCAGATGACATCAATTCTTTTATTATTTATATATGCTAACAGGTTTCTATCTACTTTTCTTCCATGTTCTATTTCTGATGTTTTTATGGTCATATTGGCAAACAGTATTCACAGATTTAATGCCAGTACCAGATAAGGTAATTGTATAATTTCAATTTCTTAGATGACTAATTGTTGTGTATTTTTAAATTATTAAAAATAATATACTGCGATCTCTATACATTTTTTTCTTTTTAAATTTTGTAGTTTAAAATACCTGATGTCGAAATAGAGAAATTACAGCAAGCTGAAACTGAAGAGGCACAGAGACAAATTTTGGAAAGATTTGCTCAGGATCTTCCAGTTACCAATCGTACCATAAAAGGAGGTAATGTTTCACAGTAAATATATTATAATTCGTAATTTAATGATGCAAGAGAGGATTGGTATTAGAATTTCAAGTGTCTGTTGTGATAGTAATATAATTTCTTTTTCAGCCATGCGATTTTGTGAGAAGTGTCAGTTGATAAAACCTGATAGAGCACATCATTGCAGTGTGTGTGGTACTTGCGTCTTAAAAATGGATCATCATTGTCCATGGGTGAACAACTGTGTAGGCTTTCACAATTATAAATTCTTCATGTTGTTTCTGGCATATGCACTTCTGTACTGTATGTTTATCACCGCCACATCCTTGCAATACTTTATACAATTTTGGAGAGTAAGTGATCTCTATATTTCTCTACATTATAATAATAATTCTATGATATATTATACAATGTCAAATCTATATATATCAATAATTCCACCTTCTTTGTGACTGGTGTAAACTTTTTTTTTGCAGGGTGAATTAGATGGAATGGGTAGATTTCACCTACTCTTCCTTTTTTTTGTTGCGTTGATGTTCGCAGTCAGTCTTAACTCTCTTTTCTTCTATCATTGCTATCTAGTTGTGCATAATAGGTCGACACTAGGTAATTTTCTGGATTTTTATCTCAATGGTATACAATGTGGTCCTTTACTGAAAAATTTGACTAATCAGTAACATGTTCACAGAGGCCTTCAGAACCCCCATGTTCCGAACAGGAAAGGACAAAGATGGCTTTAGCCTGGGAAAATATAATAATTTTCAGGAAGTATTTGGCGACAATGCACGACTCTGGTTCCTTCCTGTATTTAGTAGGTATGTGTGTTTCATCCTGTTCAGTACTATAACGGAATTATACAATATAACAGAATTATATGATCTATATACGAAGCGGGGGAACCATTTGCACAATACACGATATATAGTGAATATTGAACTATTATATCGATATATTTGTGTGCTTCTAGTATACCTATCATATGTTGTTTACCATAAAAAAAGAACTATATGGCATACTTAAAAGAATTCGAGACATGGTAATATAAGCATTAGCACAGATCCTGGAATAAGAGTGAGCGATTTTGATTTTTTTCCAAATTTATTTTCCTTGCAAAAGCAAAATGATTGCATGTTTTGTATAATACGACCTTTGATTTCTGATTAGTACATATTTTTGTATTTACGTATTATTTATAATATAATTATGTGTAGAATGTTTGCTGATTATGTGTGGCAATTATTTTTATATCAATGGTCATTTTTTCGCCAGCATATTATTTTTACATGATAAACTTTTATTTTTTTTATCTTATCCTATTTTTATATAAAATTTGGCAGAGAGTTTATTTCATTGAAACAGAAGAGAGAGAGAGAGGGGGGGG